ATTAGGGCTTCCAGCTAATGCTATACTAAATTTTGGCATTTTATCGTTCCTGTCAATGACCCCGTTGTGACAGGAACTTACTAGTTTTCCTGAAAATTTATTTTGTTTCTGCCGTAAAAATTTTGTTTACGACATTCTCGCATAATATGCCCAAAATTATTAACTTTCCAGCACTTAATCTTTGATTTCAAACTATTATTGCTATTATTTTTCCTAAATCGTGAAAAATTTTGTCGGTGAAATACAGAATATATTTCATTTTTCCTAAATCTACAACTACGCTCATGGTGACCTGGTCTCTTACAGTACACGCAAAAATTTCTTGTATAATAATGATTAGAATTATTTGCTTTGTAATTCATGTATTTTGCGTGATTTTGAGAATTACAAAATTTTACTCTGGCAGAAAATCTAGCTTTGAAATTCTGTTCATTCATTGCGCAAGTAATTGCTTCTTGTAAAGTTTTTGGCTTTTCTCTCATAAGTTTAAGTTTTAAATAATTATGCGCTGAATTATCCGTAAACAATTCCACTAACTGAAGTTCAATTAAACTATTATATCCTAGTTTATAATTTTCATAAGCAGTTTCAGCACAATTAATAAATTTTTCAGCAAAAATTTGAACACTTTCTCCCAAATCTTGTTTTAAATTTCTCAAAAGATAAAATTCATGATGTAAATCTTTAATTTCCCCAAATCTAGTACTTATTTCTTCTTTTAATTGTTCCCACGAATTACGAGGATTATCACGCAAATATCTACATATAAAATCGCTTACAGTCTCTTTACTTGATTGAAATGCGACTAATTTTATTTTATTATCATCCAAACCTTTTAAAACAGCATATTTTTCTATAGATTTTATCCAGTCATTAAAATATTTAGAATTTCCATCAAAATTTTGTACTATTTCTGATAAACCCTGTGTACCTATGACAGTTGAAATATTTTCTAATTTATCTGACAAATTTTCAAAAATTGTAGCTATTTCTTGATCTGACATCTTCAAAATTAGCAAATTACAGGTATATAAACGATCACTCACCTTTAATTTTCTGTTTCAGGTACTTCGTTGTGTCCCGCTGTCCAAAATCGTCGCATCGACATCGCTGGTCTTAGGCGCCAAATCAACCGTTGCGCATAACGGAGAAGAGAACTCACAGATGTTACATACTTTTAATATACAAATACAAATACACAAGTATAAAACTCAAGAACCAAATTCGAACTGTTCACTGGACATTTGAGAATAGTATATATAATGACAACCTGTCATAAGGACATTTTATAATGTATATAAATACACGCGTTTTAGAGTTACATGTATTAATCATTTTGACATAAGCTCAGTCTGCATGTATCCTGTACCATAATATTCATAAATCAAAGTCATGTTCCATAGTTCACATTACGAAATAAAAACCCTAATATATGTATATACATGTTGACTTGTCATTCTTTTTGAATATAGCATGTATGACTAATTAGCCTGTGCAATCAACAATACGACACTGTAAAGTTGGTTGATTTTAACTCAAGCACTCAAGGAACAAATAACAACATAATGAAATGGTTTTTACTAAGTCAAGGGAAATAACTCAACAGATACTGGATAAATCCACAAGCGTCAAACCCAAAGTGCACAACTTCATATGCTGAGCAACCTTTCTGTAAGGTTTAATGACTCTATGTCAAATCCTTTTTGAGTTACATGCCACACAAGTATAAAATTGCAAACATTTTCTAAGTCAAGGGCAATAACTCTAAAATCACTTAATAAATCCAGACAAAAATACCCAGGTGCACAACTACACATGCTGATCAACATTCCTGTAAAGTTTCATGACTCTAGGTCAAATCCTTTTTGAGTTACATGCGACATAAGTTGAAAATTGCAAATTTTTACTAAGTCAAGGGCAATTACTCTAAAAATGCTAAATAAATCCACACGAAAATACCCAGGTGCACAACTACACATGCTGATCAACATTCCTGTTAAGTTTCATGACTCTAGGTCTAATACTTTTTGAGTTACGTGCGACCCAAAAGAGAATGGACGGAAGGACAGACGGACAAGGGTAAATCTAAATGCCCGCTTCTAAAGTGGGGGCACAACAAACTGATAAAGGTTCATTGTTTAAATCGTTGTAATTACATTTTATATCTAAACCGATTGTCATTTCGCATGGAAATCAAAACAATTATCGAAGCATTACAACTACTATTGAAGTGTTTTTTTGTTTTTTTTTTTTGTTTTTTTTTGTTTTTTTTTAAAAAACGTTTTGACATCAAATATCAAAATAACAAACATAATATTTTGATATAAAACTGGAACATCTGTATCTTAAAACTTACATGTGCAATATGTTCAACAGATTTGAAATCTCCTTCCAGATCATATTCTTCCATAAACTTAAGTATTACGCGTGCTCCATGAACACATAACTCTAATTTCCGAAACTGCCTCAGTTGTTTAAGTCGTGTCATAGCACATTCATCATCAATGCCAAGTTTTGAAAGTTCAGCATACATTCCTTTCTCATCATCGTTGTATACATCTCCAATAACATTTGCGAAAGTTTGAAAATTGATATCACCTGCTTGCACATTTTTGGAAAAGTTATTACATCTGAAAAAATGCATAAATGAATTTGAGAACTCTTCTTGTTACTACTTAAGATTTCATAACGATAAATATTGCAAAGTGTAATATAAGCAAAAATGTGTTCCTTACATGATATTTTATATTTAAGATAAAGATAGCATTGTTTATATTTTATCCTTTTATTAAATCATTGTATAATTTTACAACATACAATCTTTATTTAGCATTTGCGAATATTTAAATATTTTATGTCAAGAGACAGAAATATTCTCTTTTTTTGCTCAAGAGATTTATGTTAAAGGCATATTAATTTTAATTTGTAATGATTTTGATTAATTAATTCAAATTAGGTATATACTATATTTGTTATATATTGAATTCATGTATTGGTAACATATGAAGATGGCTGTCATTGTTTCAGATAACCGTTCAACTAGTTATTTTAATTTATAGGGCTCTATTATCTACATAAAGTGAAAAAATAGCACAAGACCGAGTGAATTTTCGATTATATCGATGATGCATGGAAAAAGGCTTGCACCAGTGTCGAATGAGAAGAGGTTTCGAGGATGAAACAACTTTTTTAAAGCTGTACTGTGCATGGGAAATTATAGTTATTAAACAGCTTTGAACATAATCTTGAAATTGTATATCCCAGATAATGAACAGTATCACTGAGTTTTTGAAGGCCGTCTTAGTGTAAACAGTTACATAAATAGTTATATGCGCATTTTATAACTAAACAGGATACAGATTTAATATCGAGAATATGGATTCAGCAGAAAATCCAAGTGTTGTTAGTAAAAGAACAAAATATAACAGCTATTCTTCGAAATTTACCAATATGACAGTATTCGGTATGTCGGAACAATAATAGAGGAAATAAAGGAAGTAATATGAAAGCGAAAATGACAATCCCTGTATGTTTTCACCTAAAGAACAATTCGAGCAAAAATGCACGCTCCGTGTTGCAAGAACAGATCTAGGACTTATTGTTGGTTCGAGTCCACAAATGGATAAGTGTAAATAAGGACAAATCAATATGTTCAGTAAGTGATAACAAAGGAAACAAGATAGTTCACAAGAGATCACAATCAAAGAGAAAATGTTAACTTGCTGAATTATTAACGATGGCTAAAACAAGAAAACTACACGAGCTACAACGAAAACAGCATAAGTTTGAGAATAACAGGGCAGAGTTGCGGCGAAAACTTGGGCTGAAATGAGTTCGAGAACTTCTGGCGAGGTCGACAACGACTCAGGTTCCAGCACAAGTGAAAAAGTCGTTAGCGTATATGTATGGCCTGAAAATGCTATAAGTCTAGAGGAAAATGTAAAGTGGAATAAGGATTATATCGAGGGGTAAAAATTTCCGGACCATTCGAACAGAAACATTTCCATGTTGCAGATCTTTATAATGGACTCATGCCATAGGCCCAAAAGCACTTTCTTAAGGACAGTTTTTTGCGTAAAAGCTTGTGTTTAATACAAGAAATTAAACGATGTCGGTCACTAGACTATACTTTATTTAAAATATATCTTTAAATTTTTACTATATACTTAGTCCTAATGTCATGGCTGTACATCAACAAGAGGGCCATGATGGTCATGAACTCGCTCACCTGTACATAGGCCCCCAGGGTAAGGCCCCCACGGTTACACGTTTAAACGGATTCGTTTCGATTTTCATTCGTAAACGGCAACGATATTTTTTACCGTTTAATCGAAATAACCACATTGTCTTAAATTATCTTAATCATTACCTGTAATCATGGGTTCTATCTATTCTAATTGGTTGATTCCAAAGTAAAAACAAGAACCGGTTGAACCGGGTGATGCTCCCCGAGAAGGTTCTGGACACAGGAAAGTATAAAAAAAAATGAACAAAGGGCAAAAACTCCAAAATTAGGCAAGGCGGAGTCATGTTTTTTTGCACTGCACTTCTATTCAATGAGATCTATCTATCTATAAAGTTTCCTGATGATATCAGAGTTATGTCCCGGGTAAAATTCAAAGTGTAAAAATGAACAAAGGGCAATAACTCCAAAATTAGACCAGGCTTTGTTTAGGTTCTTTAAACATTGCAGTTCTATCCAGTTATATCTAGCTACCTACAAAGTTTCATGTTGATATCTCTAATAGTTTTAAAGTTATGTCCCTGACAAAAGTCAAAAAGTAAAAATAAACAAAGGGCAATAACTTCAAAATAAGGCAAGGCAGAGTAATGATTCTTAAGCACTGCACTTTCACCCAATGAGACCTATCTATCTACAAAGTTTCATGTTGATATCTCTTATAATTTTAGAGTTATCTCCCGGACAAAGTTCAAAGTGTCAAAATGAACAATAGGGCAATAACTCCAAAAGTAGGCAAGGCAGAGTTACGGTTTTTGTTCACTGCATACCTACTCAATGATATCTATCTACCTACAAAGTTTCATGTTGATACCTATTATAGTTTCAGAGTTATGTCCCACACAAAGTTCAAAGTGTAAAATTGAACAAAGGGGGATAATTCAAAAATTAGGCAAGGCAGAGTTACGGTTCTTATGCACTGCACACCTACTCAATGAGATCTATCTACCTACAAAGTTTCATGTTGATACCTCTTATACTTTTAGAGTTATGTCCCGGACAAAGTTCAAAGTGTAAAAATAAACAAAGAGGGATAATTCAAAAATTAGGCAAGGCAGAGTTACAGTTCTTGTGCACTGCAAACCTACTCAATGAGATCTATCTACCTACAAAGTTTCATGTTGATACCTCTTGTACATTAAGAGTTATGTCCCAGACAAAGTTCAAAGTGTAAAAATAAACAAAGGGGGATAATTCAAAAATTAGGCAAGGCAGAGTTACGGTTCTTGTTCACTGCACACCTACTCAATAAGATCTATCTACCTACAAAGTTTCATGTTGATACCTCCTATAGTTTTAGAGTTATGTCCCGGACAAAGTTCAAAGTGTAAAATAAACAAAGGGGATAATTCAAAAATGAAGCAAGGCAGAGTTATGGTTCTTGTGCACTGCACACCTACTTAATGAGATCTATCTATCTACAAAGTTTCATGTTGATACCTCTTATACTTTTAGAGTTATGCCCCGGACAAAGTTCAAAGTGTAAAAATAAACAAAGGGCAATAATTCAAAAATTAGGCAAGGTAGAGTTATGGTTCTTATGCACTGCACATCTACTCAATGAGATCTATCTACCTACAAAGTTTCATGTTGATACCTCTTGTTGTTTCAAAGTTATGTCCCGGACAAGAAAAGGCGAAGGACGGACGGACGGACGGAAAGACGGACGGACGGACGTTCGTACAAACTTTTGACATTTATGAGGCAAATCAGCTCATAAACACCACCTGGATCAACGTCCATAAGCAAAATTAGCTCATAAAAACAAAAATATAGCTCTTAATTTGAATTTTATGAGTTTTTGTTCTTTATTTAACTACGGAATGAAGCTCATAAATATCTAATGTTTGCTCGGACGGACGGACGGACAAGGCGGCGACTATATGCTCCCCCGAAATTTTTCGGGGAGCATAAAAATGGAAAATTGGTGTTTACAACACCCCACACAGCATCGCCGTGCAATAATTGCTCGTAACATAATACATTTTTGGTAAAAATGATTTCCTTTTATCTTTCAAATAGTGAAAGGGGGATATATTGCAGTAAATAGTTACCGACTCAATCGTGATGAGCCCTGAATATGATTTACTTGTACATGTATTTAAACTCGAAAGTAAGTCATCATTTAGCTACTCTTATACATTGTGTAGTATAATTCAAAGAAGTACCACCGTTTAAACGGTATCGTTTCGGTTCTTAGCAATCGTGTAAACGTTTACAAAAAAAATGTAAACGTGGGAGCCTTACCTGGGGCGGGGCAAATTTTAACCCAGGGTCTCTAATTTGAACAAACTTGGTAGACACCCATTTGAAGATGTTTCATGATAAATATCTAAGCTCTAGCTCTAAGAAGGTTTTTTAAGTTTTTACTATACACATATAGTGAAAAACAATGACCTCCCCCCCCTCTCTCTGGGCAGGGCCAATTTTGTCCCCAGGGCTTTTATTTGAACAAACTTGGTAGACACTCACTAGAAGATAGTTCATGCTTAATTTCTAAACTCTAGCTCAAGAAGATTTTTTAAGGTTTTTACTATATACATATAAGAAAAATCAATGATCCCCATGGCGGTGCCAATTTTAACCACAGGGCCCTTATTTGAACAAAAATGGTAGACACCCATTAGAAGATGTTTCATGCTAAATATCTTTGCTCTAACTCTTTGGGTTTTTTACAAGAAGATTTTTAAGTTTTTACTATAAAATCAATGACCCCCTCCCCCCGGGGCGGGGCCAATTTTGACCTCAGGGCATTCATTTGATCAAACTTGGTAGACACTGACTAGATAATCAATCATTCATGCCAAATATTTAAGCTCTAGCTTTTACAGTTTTTTAAAAGAAGAATTTTTTAAGTTTTTTATTTCGGTTGCCATGGCAACCAGAGTTTTGCTTGGAATTATATTCTTTGAACAATTTTTAAAGTTGACTACCAAAGGAACATTCCTGTGAAGTTTGGATGAAATTGGCTTAGCGCTTTATGAGGAGATGTCGTTTAAAATAAAAGTTCACGGACGGACAACAGACAGACGAAAAGTGACCATGTCACAAGTGACTATGTCACTTTGTGACATGTGAGCTAAAAACAAAAAAGTAGGTCGCTAGGTCAATATTTAGGTCATTTGAATTCAGATTTCAATTATACACCTGAAACTGTGCACATGGTCAAAATGACATAGCTGTACGTAAATAAGCAATAAAGTAGGTCACAATGTCAAAATCTAGGTCCGATGATATCATAGTTCAATTTTACATCCAATTCTGTGCATATGGTCCATATCTCATAGCTGTACTTGAAATGAAAAGAAAGTGGGTCACATAGTCAAAGTCTAGGTAAGCTCATATCAAAGTCTGTAACTGTGTTCATGGTCAAAATTTCATGGCTGTAGATGGAATAGCAATAAGTCAGTCACTGAGTCCCCTTGGGTAGGGCCATTTTCACACTTAGGCTTTAATTGAAACAATTTTGATACAGATCCAACTTACAATGTTTCATGTCAAATATCTAAGTTCTGGCTTTCTTCGTTTATATGAACATTTTTTTCTTAGTTTTTTGTGTTTTTTACCTTAGGGCCATAATTTGAACAAACTTTGTAGAGGTCCACAATGTTTAATGCAAATTATCTAAGCTCTAGCCTTTAGAGCTTCAAAGGATAATTCGTCCATTACATTTTACTAAATTAACAAAACGAAAATCTATGCCTCCCAGGGCTAACTTTATTAAAGTAAATTAACACAAAAACCATAATTTTAATAAACTTGGCGAAAGTCCTCTACACAATGTTTCATGCCAAATATCTAACCCTAGTATTTGTCAATTCAAAGGAGAACTAGAAATGTTTCCATAGGACACGGGTGCCCCCACACTCCACTGATTTGTCAATCTTATGTCTCTGGGTCAAATTGTTTTTTGGCTACATGCATGTGCCCAAGTTGAAAACTTACAATCTTTCATTAAGAAAAGGGCAAATACTACAAGTACTGAATAAATCCACAAGAAAACCCCAAGGTGCATAAGTACACATGCTGACCAACATTCTTGTAAACGTTCAGGCCTACAGATCAAATACTTTTTGAGTTACGTGCAACACAAGTTGAATATTGTAAGTTTTACTAAGTCAAGGGCAATAACTCTAAAAGTACTAAAATTATCCACAGGAAAATACCCAGGTGCACAACTTCACATGCTGATCAACATTCCTGTAAGGTTTCATGACTCTAGGTCAATTACTTTTTGAGCTACGTGCGACACAAAAAGAGAACGTACGGACGGATGGACGGACATACTCACAAAATGGTACTTATGTGACTTTTCCTTTGATCTTTTTGGCCATTTTTAGTCACACAAGGCTTAAAAAAAGACACACAAGTAAAAACAGAATGAATAAGATCAAAGAGAATTTACTGTTACCCATTGTTCTCCAAGTCACACAAGTACCTCTGGGTTCGTACGGAAAGGACGGACGAACAAGGGTAAATCTAAATGCCCCCCCATAATGGGGGGACAAAAATAATAAAATAATTAAGTTTTCTAAAATTTAATGTATATATGGAAAATCTATGTCCCCCCTAAATTTTGATCCCAGGATTAAAATTTGAACAAAGGTTCACTCCACAATGTTTCATGCCAAATATCTTTCTTCTAGCCTTTGACATTTAAGATGAGAAGATTTTAAAGGTTTTGAAAATATACATATGACCCCAGCCCAAGGATTTCGTACAAATTCAGTAGAGGGCATATAGATGATAGTATATGCCATATACCAAAGCTTTGGGCTTTTCAACTTTGAAAGGGGGCCATCTAAGGACCATTCTTGTAATGTTTGGTTGCTGTGCAGTCATTGGTTTTTCCTTTTCATCTAGACCAAACATTTTCCCCGAGGAAACAGCATTTGTATGGTTAATAATGACATCCCGTCCGTATTTTGCCTGTGTGCCTTGTCCTGTATAGTTTCCTGCTGGGCTCCTTAGATGTGTTCAATGAATGGGCCCTTCCTTGTTGAACTTGTTTTTCATATTTGACAAAAAAGGTTTTTTTAAACTATGCAGTATAGAGATAGTGGTGCATGCCACGATGTCAACGTGATTCTATCAAATTACAAATCAACATATGGGGGCATATGTTGACGATTGACTTCGTCAATGAACAGCTCAATAAAATGATTATGCAATATTTGTAATGATACCATTGATACCATTTTGGACATTCTATAAGGTAATTAAGCATACATTTTATTTATGCCACTAGCAATGAAATATTTTGACTTAATTTAAGAATGACTTTTGTTCTTTTTGTATTTCATTTGATTGAAATGGAACCTTTTATTTATGTTATTTAGTAGGGTCTAGCTATAATATATTACATTTTTATGTGTCAGAAATGGGAATTGAGAGGTATTAAACATTGGGAATATTTATGTATTATGAAGTAAATTTAATCCTATTGCACAAAATTAAATGCCATCAATCTGATCTGTTTTGTTTTTTCTGTTGCTAAATTAGGCCCAGTGCTTGAACCATTCGGCCCACAAACTAATCCGGCTACAGTAGGATCTAGCTATATATATTATGTGTTAGAAATGGGAATGCAATTATAGCTGAAGGTTAAATATATACTATGCTCATCCTTTTTAATGGAATCTATGAAATTCTTACTGAATATGTGTAGTTGGAATAAAAGTCTTTGAATAAAATATGTATGTGTTCCCTATAACAAGTCAAGAAAAGTTGGTGTGACCTATAAAAACAAGAGGGCCATGATGGCACTGGATCGCTCCCCTGACCCATCAACCGCATCCAAAAGCATCCTGGCCAAGTTTGATGACAATTGAGTCTAAAATGTGACCTCTAGTGTGTTAAAAAGGTTTTCCATATTTGGGCAATGTGACCTAAGTTTTGACTGGAGACGACCCACATTCATACTTGATCAAGTAGGATATTTGGATCAAAACTGCAGCCACCAGAGTATTAAAAAGATTTTTCTATTTTTAGCTTCTGTGACCTAGTTTTTGACCGGAGATAACCCATCTTCGAACTTGACCTAGAAATCATCAAAACAACCTTCCTGACAAATTTCCAGAATATTTGGATCAAAACTGCAGCCACTAGAGTGTTAACAAGCTTTTTCTATTTTTAGCTCCTGTGACCTAGTTTTTGACCAGAGATGACCCATCTTTGAACTTGACCTAGAAATCATCAAAACAACCTTTCTGACAAATTTCCAGAATATTTGGATCAAAACTGCAGCCACTAGAGTGTTAACAAGCTTTTTCTATTTTTAGCTCCTGTGACCTAGTTTTTGACCAGAGATGACCCATCTTTGAACTTGACCTAGAAATCATCAAAACAACCTTCCTGACAAATTTCCAGAATATCTGGATCAAAACTGCAGCCACTAGAGTGTTAACAAGCTTTTTCTATTTTTAGCTCCTGTGACCTAGTTTTTGACCGGAGATGACCCATCTTTAAACATGACCTAGAAATCATCAAAACAACCTTTCTGACAAATTTCCAGAATATTTGGATCAAAACTGCTAGTTGATTCTAACTCAAGCACTCAAGGAACAAATAACAACATTATTAAATGAAACAGTTTTTACTAAGTCAAGGGAAATAACTCTACAAATACTGGATAAATCCACAAGCGAAACCCCAGGTGCAAAACTAAATATGCTGAGCAACCTTCCCGTAAGGTTTAATGACTCTATGTCAAATCCTTTTTGAGTTACATGTGACACAAGTTGAAAATTGCAAAAAATATCCTGAGGAAAATACCCAGGTGCACACATGCTGATCAACATTCCTGTAAAGTTTCATGCCCCTAGGTCAAATACTTTTTGAGTTACATGCGACACAAGTTGAAAATTGCAAAATTTTACTAAGTCAAGGGCAATAACTCAAAAAATACTAAGAATATCCAGACGAAAATACCCAGGTGCACAACTAAACATGCTGATCAACATTCCTGTAAAGTTTCATGACTCTATGTTTAATACTTTTTGAGTTACATGCTACACAAGTTGAAAATTGCAAAATTTTACTAAGTCAAGGGCAATAACTCTAAAAATACGTACAACACAAAAAAGAACGGACGGACGGAAGGAAGGACGGACAGACGGACAAGGGTAAATCTAAATGCCTGCCACCCAAGTGGGGGCACAAAAAATATTACTAACCTTTCTTTAATCGGAAACCATAGTAATTGAACAAGGAGATCAACTGTTTGAATATCCTTCTGAGCCTTGTTGCAGCCATCACTCCACATGTTATCAAAAACAATGCTTCCTTTGTACATCTTCAACTCTCCTAATATTCTGTTAAGGCTATTTGGAATATCAAAAGCACATACTTTCGGAATAAAACTGTCTTGATCAGCTCCTATGTCTATCACATAAGTCTTGCAAAACTCAGAGACGAGACTTTTTGAAACCATGGAATGTCTTTCAAGAACCGCCTGTATTTCATCGACACATACTGCAATAAAAAGTATTACTGCAGTATTAAAATCTATTTATATACCATATGATGGTTCTCGAGCCTACCTGCATTAGTTTAAAAATATTTGGTTTATGTGCAAACATGTTATGGCGTCTTAAATGGAAATATAAGGACGTCTCACAGTGAAAGTTGCATTAACATCCCCCTATGACCATATCTGCTAAGGCTTCTATATTCTAACATTGTATATGTAAACGTTGAATTTTGCTTATGCAAATGCTAGAGAGTTTGAAAATTTTCCACTGTCGTCCTTGACGGGCCCAAGCTAACCAGTTTTCAAATGAGGCTACTTTTTCCAGTGTTAATTGGTGTATTTATTTATGGTTATTTATAAAATGTGACTTATCAAAAGAACAAGTTTCAATGAACAGAACTCATTTATTAAGACTTGATTGCTTGATAACAACAAATATGATATGGTTTTACCTGAAGGGCAATGTGAGCATAAATCTACAAATGTCTTCATTTGGTCCACTTGTAGTTCAAACGCGTTCACTTCTTTTAATCTTATCCGTATTGCCTTACGAACAAGTGTGGAGGAGATGGAATCTGTGAAATTTTCTTGTATAATGTCGCAAAAAGTATTTTCGTTTGTTTGAATTAATCTCAGAGTTCCTACTGTTACATTGCCTTCAATCATGGCCTGAGCTTGTGACAGAATAACAGTCACGACACATTGTAAGTTTCTTTGACATTCCACAGAAAGACAGCTTCTGTACTTCACATTTTTATCTAAAATGCAAAATTTAGTATCATTCACATTTTAAAAGAAATTTTTATTTACACAACATTATATTTCATTCATAAAGAAATAATTCAATATTAGGGGCGTAAAAAATATACTATGTTTTCCTAGTAAGTAAAATACATAATGTATTTTAATCACAGAATTTTCTTGAAATCTATGAAATTCTTACTGAATATGTCTAATTTATATAAAAGAACGAAAAAACTATGTATTGGAAGCTGTGGGGGATCCTATTACAGGTCAAGTAAAGTTGGTCTTTTCTTAAAAAGAACTGCCAGTTTTTAATGACACTGTAAATTCATATTGTGACCACCTATAGTGTATAAAATTCTAAACATAAAATATCTATTTTGTGTGAATGCAAAACATGTTTATTTTATATTTACAAAGAGACTGTGTAGCAATTATCAATATTTTCTAATATCAAATTTGAGCATAGTATATATTTAAGTGGAATGTACAGGCACACATGTAAAAGTTATTACTTTATTTATTTGTATATATAATTGCACAAAAATTAATCGTTCGATCTATGTTATAACAGTACAAATAAATACATACCTAACAAATATCTACATTTTACAGTTTAGGCTTTTTCTTTTTCATTCTTTCTTTATTTTCGGCTTTACGTCAAACTATTACATCATAGGTTATATGGCGACTTTCCATATAAACTGGGAAGGAAGACCTAAGGTGCCTTTCGGTGCATTATTTCAGGCACCATCAGGCACCTGAGTAGAACCACCGACGTTCCGTAAGCTAGCTAGAAAGCTTGTCGCATGAAAGAATCCAATGTTTCTGTAAAGAACTCGAAATTAATGCGCTGAGGGACAATTGCTTTGTTGTCAATAACCTCAGCCACGGACGCCCTATTACAGCTTAGGTAACTGTAAATAACAAAACTAGTTGATAACACTGACTTATTTCTAAGTAAAATAGAATTTACTGGAAATATTTCTTACATAATTGTTTCATAAATTGTCGAAATGTTGACCATGTGAATACCATCGTCAAAATTTGAATTTCCTTCATATCATCTCTACCCTCTTTCACTGTCCGCCATTCTCTCATAAACATTTCTGATAAAAGACCAGCAAACTTTTTCTTTTCTGCATCTCCAAGCGATAGTAAGTCTACGTCTACACCGGATTCAATTGCCTTAAACAAGAAATTAATGGAGTTATGTTTCAAAACTTAATTTCTATTTTCAGATTGCTACCGTATTAATACAACACTAAAAAGAAGGAAATGAAGCATAATTTTTGTGTTTGTATACAATTGAACTTTCCCATAATGTAGTAGTATCTATTGAATTTGAATCTTTTCAATTAAGCATTACCTATTTCTGAAAACATAAAAAAAAAACATTTAAAGTTTTAAATCATCATTAAATACATGGTGTGAATATTGTGTGCTCAGATCATTTTTGTTTCCTCAGATCATTTCATAAGATTGTCTTAAAAGCAAACATCTTTCTTGCTAGAGGTCATGTCCTTTGGGCAAACTCCCAGCTAGAAAATCTTTTTTTTTTAGAAAAATTGCATAACATGTACACATGTAAACTATCCTATATGAGTTGTTTCCCTTTCATTATTTAACTCATGAGCTAGACTAGGAAGGGGACTGATATTAAGAAAAGCCATGACTTCCTAGGGCAGGCTAATTTTGACCCCTTCACCAAAACTTTGATTTGAATATAGATAAAAGAGTATCTCTAGAAAATGGTCCATGCTCAATATCTGAGCTATAGCCCTTGTTGTTTTGAAGAAAAAGATTTTTAAAATGTCTACTATAATCATATATGGAAAGTACATTACCTGGAAGCCCTTAACCCAATAGGATTGCTATATGCCCCCGCATCACAACTTGCGGTGGCATATAAAGGGGGTAATCATGAATTTGATTGCTCAACTGACACACATTGCTAGAGGTAGTTCAATCCAGTAATGAGGTCATATTGGGTTTGTCATTTTTTTCTCTAGGGTGCATGTCTGACTTATGTAACTTCTGATGTCCACTAGGCAATGCTACATGCCAAATATCTTAGCCCTTGGCATGATATACCAGAAGTTGTTCATAAAATATTTTTTTAGACATTTTACTTACAAGCTAATCCAAAAACGACCACCAGGGTGCAGCCATTTTTGACCCCAGGAACATTATTTATATCACTTTTGTAGATATTAATAAGGCAATACTAATTGCCAATTTGCCTTATATCTAGGCTCTTAACAAAGAAGACTTAATTGTATTTTCCTACATAAAGTGACCACTGTAAGTCACGACATATTTTGGCCGGAGGCCATGATTTATATATTTTTAGAGGACCACAAGGCGATGCCTAATGCAAAATATCTAAGTTCTTGGATTTTTTTCTGGAGAACAAGATTTTTTAGACATTTTTACTATAAGTCTTTGCTAAACAACTGACCTCAGGGTGGGGCCATTTTTCATCCAATAGCATAATTAATGTAACTTTTAGGTTTACTAGGCAATGATGGGTGACAAATATCTAAGCCCTTCTTATAAGTCTATACAAACTAAGTGACCCTCGGGAGGGGCAAATTTTGACCCTAGGGGACATTATTTATATATATAAATTTTGTAGAAGATCACAAGGTGAAGCTACACGCTTAATAACTAAGCTCTGGGTATTGTAGTTTTTGTGATGAAGTTGTTTTAGTTTTTTTTTACTATTCAAGTCAATACAAAATAAGGGACTCACAGGGTGCTACCAGTTTTGACCCAAGACACATGATTGATATCACTTTTTAAATGTCCACCTGATAACGCTACATGACAAATATTTAAGCTCTAGACATATAGGCATAGCAGTTTTATACAATTAAGACTGTGTAAACAAGGTGACACTTAGGTAGGGGCATTTTTTTCTGAGGGCCATGACTTTATATCACTTTTTAGAGTACCACAAGATCATGCTACATGCCAAAAATCTAGACTATTTGCATTCACTTTTAAATGAGACATTTTGAGACATTTTTACTATACAAGTCCATGCATGACTTACATTACTTTTCTAGAGGCCCCATAGGCAATGCTACATGCCAAATATCTTAGCTCTTGACATCTTAGTTTCAAGATGACTTAAATGTATTTTCTGATACAAGCCCGTGCTTTGCTTGTGCCCTGTTTTTGTTTTGGATCCTGCTGGGTTCCTTGCCGGAGGTCCTGTGTTGCTGGATCTTGTAGAAGTTGTGTTCGCTGAACGCTGCCTTTCCTTTATGATCTTCTTTTTCATATTTTATAAACTAAGTGACCCCTATGCGGGGCTAATTTTGACCCCTGAGGTGCATAATTTATAAAAACAAATTGTTCAAGACCACAAGATTCTGCAACATACTAAATATCGTAACCCTGGGCATTGCAGTTTCTTAGCAGAATACTTTTAGGTCTTTCTACTAGACAACTCTATATAAATTAAGTGACTCCTGGAGCATAGCTTATTTTAAATTATTACTTTTGTAAAGGTCAACTTGAAAATGCTACATGACAAATATCTAATCTCTTGGTATAGCAGTTTCATTAAAAGAGACTTAAATGTATTTTCCTATGTAAGATAAGTGACCCCTGAGTTTGGGCCATTTTTGAGCCCTGGGGCATGATCTGTTCAACTTGTGTAGAGAACCACATGTAAGTGATGCTACAGGCAAATTATCTTGGCTCTAAAAAGAATATTTAAGATCTCTTTTTTTAAGTCTACATGTATTTTAATTAGCACCTTTAACCTACTTATGCAACAGACTAAAATCATTTATTTTACTTTTGTAGAGGACTACTAAAGGATCAATCCTATTAAACTTTGTCAAAATCCATACAGTTGTTGAGGAGATGTTGTTTTAAGAAACTGTTGACAATAATGAACGACGGACGATGAACACATTGCATCACAAAGGCTCACCTCTAAGCATGTTATGCACAGGTGATCGAAAAATGTATAATTATTTTTGTTAATACCCACAAGTAAAAAAAATAAACATAGCACATTACAAGAATTAGAAATATAACAATTATACAGACCTTCAGAGCCAATTCATTAAGACAATCTTGCATCGGTCGGCTGTATGTGTCAAAGCTTTTACAAATGATTTGAATACATTTTGATGCCACGCTCTTGTTCATATTCCACTTTGAAAATATAAGACAAATAAGAAGAAATTTGTAAATATTACAAACATCAATTGCTACGAGTATGTTTAGGATTTCAAAAGTATGTTATGGTCCAACAGACTTATGGAAAGTATAGCAATTACAAATTTTAAATAAATGAAAAACAAAAAACTGAATTAAAAAAAATTACAAAATTAGATCTTAGTTACAATGTTTTACCTGTTTCTGAATAATTTTACTCAAGGATTTTGACATCTCTGAATTCCAGCATTTTTTCATCTCTTCGTTTTGGAGTCTGTCTATGAAGGCATAATTCCAAACCTGTAAGACAAACCATTGTTTAAATATACACCTATCATAGAAAAAATTATTATGCAAATAGTTTTAATAATACTTATGCATCAATGTTTTTTACTTTGCAATTAACTTTTACTATTAATTTATTAAATTTGTTAAAAAAAAATCATACATTTGACAAGCATGTCAGTTTCATTCGGTATATAATTTTAGCCAATATTAAAAAAAAATGTTAAATGATTACTTTTAAATGTTCAGCCATTTGTGATAACCAATATTCCTTTTGATGATGCTCGAGCCAGTTAATCACATACTTCTGAACTTCTGAATGCTTCTTATCAATGCTTTCGACGTTTTGCTTTCCATTATCTGAAGACTTGCAGATGTTTCGGTAAACTGATGCACAGTGCAGAAATATGTGAGCGGTATACATGACCTTTAAAGTTTTGTTTGTACTTCTTGACTCACAAACCGCATCTGATGCAATTAGATAAGCAAGTAGCCATCGATTTTCTGATCTAAAATAAAGTATGAAAGATTGGTCAGTGTCAGTTATTTCCCTTTTTTTCTTCTTTTTTTTTCTTTTTTTTTTTTTTGCAACTCATATATCATATGTATTCATTCTTCTCTATTTTTATAATTAGTATGTTAATACAAACAGACTATATAACTTGCCCTTGCTAAACTTATAATGACACAGACGGACACTATTCATTCTGAACCGATTATTGCTTCTAAATTCAGTTCTGTCCAGTATCAATGATTTTTCAGTACTTGCATATGTCCGGTTTTTTTTTCTGTAGAATTTATAACTAAGGTTAAGGTCATTTAAGTGTAGCTAATTAACTTAAATTTGCAATATAATTTTTCATGATTTTTTTTTCATTTTAAATGTAAAAACAAAGTACTGAAAGTTATTGAGATTGTTTAGCACAACATTATTGTTGTGTGCATGTTTTGTTTCTTTTAGTTCTCTCCTAGATGGGTGGTTCCAGTACTCCTTACATGAATACTGCTTCATAACCCTTAGGATATGTCACGACCAAAGGACCCTTTATGTATAGTTTCATCACCATTGGCCAAATTTAGGAAAATACGTAGCGAAACGAAAGGAAAGACGACATGGAATTATAATTATTGTCAGGTTACGCTCCAGTGATTTTAGGTCAACGACCATAACCACTCGGACATAAGACCCAACAAAATCATTGAATAAACATGTATATTACCAAAGTTTATACCGTAAAGGTAAATCATTTACATCTCTCTCTCTCTCTCTCTCTCTCTCTCTCTCTCTCTCTCTCTCTCTCTCTCTCTCTCTCTCTCTCTCTCTCTCTCTATTGGTCATCACAATAAAGGACTGATACTATTTGTTTATTTGCCAATTAGTTGGAATTTTTTGTTTGGTTAAGGAATTTGTTATGTTCTTTCTTTAGGGACGTTGTTTTATTATACCATGTTGAAAATGTTTTTTCAGTGCATACCTTTCTTTATCACACACTACACACTGAAGTCTTTTCATAAGCTTTTCGGCACATTCGATGACGGTCTAAAATCAAATATGAACTCATTGTTATAATGTTATCGATTTTCAAAATATACATCAAAATATACAAACATTATTTGCAATATTATATGTTACATGTTTAATATGTAATGAACCTATATAAACATTTTGATTTTTGACATCAAATTATACGCCTCTTACATAATCATTTTTAAAGAAGGAGCAAGGTGACCAGGTTATTGGCCAATGAGTAACATTTTTGAAACTATAAATGGACACTATAAATAAAAAGATTTTTAAAAATAAGATAAAAACATTTCTGGTGCATTATAGGTCTTTAAGTAGATAAAACATGTCCTTATCTAGTAAATGTGCACATGCATGATGATAGGCGCAAAGATAACAGTATAGTTTCAGAAAATATAATGCTTTCGTAATATATTCAAAAGTTATGATCATAATGCATATTTTTTTTCCAGAAATCTTTACATTCTAATGAATTATATGTCAACATTCTATTCTTATATTTGTAAAATCCTGAACAAGTGAGAGGACAAGAATCAGTTCATAGATTTTCTTCATAAAAACCTTTAAAATTACGAAATAAATAGAAAAGTTTGAACAGAGAAATACACATATATGTCAATCTTACATACTCGTTTTGTCTGCATCAAATATTTCGTACCTGTTCCTCGCCATCTGCATGAAATGTTGATGTACTATTTTGTGTTGTCGAATTGTTTGAATCTTTGATATAATAACTCATTGTGGCACAACATACTTCTACCGGCATTACATTCTCTCCGATAATTTCCCTTAGCTCAACTGGTTTTAAACAGGCCGATATTGCTCGGGGCAGGTAAAAATCTATTTCGAACAATGGCTGTAGGCTTTTCAAAACGTCTCTGAGGGGGCTAAAATAATGATAAAGTTACTTTGCCAAACATTTTGAAAATGAAGTTATATGAAATTAAATATCTTGAGCAATGCTTCAAGTTTTTTGTATGTTTGTTTATTTAGAGGTTAATATTCTCCATTGACCAACATAATGCAATAATGGCCCAATGTCCATAATAAACTAAGGGCCCCAGGTTTTGAGGGCCATAACGGCAAGTAGCAGCCAAGTATTGAGTTAAACACCTTTAATACTAGTACCTTTGGAGGAAACATGGCGTTTAGACATCACCATCAATCTTTCTAAGACATGAACTGTTGTCAAAGTAAACAAATATTTGTCATTCAGTTTAACAAACAAACTAGCAAGAAACCTCACATTAACTTAGGAAACATGGTAACACAAAAAAAATATGAGAAAATGTTGTTTAATTGTCAGGACCTAGATCTTGCCGTAATGGTCTTGAAATACCCAAAAATTTGTTACTTTATAAAGTTACAAAGGTATAGCTAATAAAACAAGATTGCATTTGTGAACAAGCAATTATCATAGTATTGCAAGCAATCCATAAGTCCCCTACCGGTAAGAGCCCAAGCAACATTCTGAAGGGTCATTGGCCATTCACTTAGGTTTCTATTTTAAGTAAATTTGTTGAAAAAGTTCTTTAAAAGTGATCACAGGAAACAGTTTTTTATGTACAGACAGACGGACTGAAGGACACTCTAAAGTTATTTTTTAAACATCCCTGTTATCAAAATATAACATTTTTAAAATCCTATCATGATTGAAGAAGTTGGAGTAAAAATTACCAATTTCTCAAAAAAAAAGTCTAAGTTCAAAAGGGGCATAATTCTGGAAATAGTCTTGCTATCTAGAGTATTGAACACTCACAAATGTTGAGTGACAATTAGAAACATTTATATGAAGTTTGAAGTAGATACATTCAGAAAAAGAAGTTATTAAAAAAAACAATGTTTTTTTCATGAAAATTTTAAGTTCAAGGGAGGTAATTCTGATAAATTTTGTGCTAGAGTTGTAAACCTTGTCACATATGATGTGGTTGATGACAAGCAACTTATATTTAAAGTTTGAAGAAAATACCTTAAGAAATAAAGAACTTATAGTGAAAAAACTTAAAAACTAGAATCAGAAATCTTGAAATTCAGTCTATTTGTTGCCATAGCAACCAGAATTTTCAACATAGGAAGATAAAAAAGGATGTGCATAATTTCCATACTGCCATCTACCCATATGTCAAGTTTCATAAACATATTTTTAGTTCTTTTTGTGTTATCACGGGATCCAGGTTATGTGTAAAATTTGCCATATTTTCAGTCTATTTGTTGCCATAGCAACCAGAATTTTCAACATAGGAAGAAAAGAAAAATATGTGCATAATCTCCATACTGCCATCTATCCATATATCAAGTTTCATAAAAATATTTTCAGTACTTTTTGCGTTATCGCGGGATCCAGGTTATGTGTAAAATTTGCCATATTTTCAGTCTATTTGTTGCCATAGCAACCAGAATTTTCAACATAGGAAGAAAAGAAAAAGACGTGCATAATCTCCATACTGCCATCTATCCATATATCAAGTTTCATTAAAATATTTTCAGTACTTTTTGCGTTATCGCGGGATCCAGTTTTGTGGACGGACGGACTGACGGACGGACAGACGGACGGACTGACGGACGGACAGACAGACAGACGGACAGACGGACGGAGGGTAAACCTAAAGTCCCCTCCGGTAAACCGGTAGGGGACTAAAAATGCTATGCCACCGCATTAACCCATAACCGCATGAGCATTTTGTGAAAAATGGCTGTTTTCATTGAAAAGTCTCCCTTTAAAAGTTCAAGTTGCTATAAAACTATAAAAACTGCTTCAATACTTATCAAACTTGGCACAAATGTTGACTGGACCATGGCCTTTGTAACAACATGCTCAGTCTTAAAATCCCTGTTACCATGACAACTAGGGGACATCTCAAAATTGCCAAAAATCACTATTTTGCGTTGATTTTTTCCATCAAAATTGATTTCAAAGTGCTGCCACTTCTCAATGGATTGAGATAGAGTCTTTTTAAAGGCTTTTCAGTGTTGGTTACACGTTACCTTATGATCGACCTGGGGTCATTTTTAGCCTCTCATAAGTCAAAAAAAAATTCTTGGCGATGAGTGGGACTACTGCCCCCCCCCCCCCTCAACCCCTCCAAACAGAAGGGGGCACATCCCCCTTCTGGCAACCCCGTTATATATCTTTTGGATGAGGGACGGCGCCGAAAAAGTGGTCACTTTTTTAAACAACATTTCTCTAGGTCAGCTGATATCAAAGTTCACTTTACATCTTAATCTGTGCACATGGTTCAAATTTCATAGCTGTACATCTAAGGCCAAGAAAGTAGGTCACATCATCAAAATCTAGGTCACCTGATATCAAATTTCAATTTTACAACTAAAACTGTGCACATGGTCAAAATTTCATTGCTGTACATCAAAGGACAAGAAAGTAGGTCACTGTTCCCTTGGGCAAAACAAAATTTTAACCCAAGGGTTTAATTCAAAACAATCTTGATACAGGTCAACCAAACAACATTTCATGTCAAATATTTAAGCTGTAGCTTTCTCCCATTCAGAAAACATTTGTTTAAGTATCTGTTTTTACTATGTGTACAGGGCCAATTTTGACACCAGGGGAAAAATTTGAACAACTTTGGTAGAGGACCTATAGATGATATTATATTGCAAACATCAAAGCTGAGTCTATGCCTTGTACCTTCAGACAAAAAGATTTTTGATTTTTTTACTATATGTACATAATGAAAATCAATGACCCCCGGGGCAGAGCCAATTTTAACCCCAGGGCTATAACTTGAACAATCTTGATAGAGGTTCACTTCGCAAAGTCTCATGCCAAATATTTAACCTCTCGTCTTTGTCAATTCAGAAAAGATTTTTCAAGTTTTTACTTTATACATATAAGGAAAACTATCGCCTCTGGGGAAAGGCAATTTTAATTCTAGGGGCATAATTAAAACAACTTTAGTAGAGGACATAGCTGATATTTTATACTAAATATCAAAGCTCTAAGCCTTGTACCTTCAGACAAGATTTTTTAATTTTTTCTATATGTACATAGTAAAAATCAATGACCCCCGGGGGTGGGGCCAATTTTGACCCAAGGGCTATAATTTGTACAATCTTGCTAGAGGTTCAATAACAATGTTTCATGCAAAATATCTAACCTCTATCATTTGTCAATTTAGAGAAAATGATTTTTAAGTTTTGACTACAAATGTATATACATATAAGGAAAACCTATGACCCCCAGGCAAAGCTAATTTTGACACTAGAGGCAAAATTTGAACAACTTTGGTAGAGTACCTATAGATGATATCTATAACAAATATTAAACCTGTAAGCCTTGTTCCTTCAGAAAAGAATGTATTTTATGTTTTAACTATATGTACATTTAGTGAAAATCCATTACCACCCCCCGGGGCTGGGCCGATTTTGACCCCAGAGCTATAATTTGAACAATCTTGGTAGAGGTCTATCAGACAATGCCTTATGCAAAATATCGAAGCTCTAGGCCTTTTGGGTCTTTACAAGAAGATTTTTTAAATTTATTCTTATAATTCCTTTTGGTTGCCATGCCAAACAGATTTCTGCATAGAATGAAATTCTTTGAACAACTTTAGAAGCCCTTCACCCAAGGATCAAACCTGCCAAGTTTGGTTGAAATTGGACTAGTGGTTTTTCACAAGAAGATTTTTCAAGTTCACTATATAATCTATAGAACACACATACAACACATACGCACACAGGTGAATGGCTATATGCCACCGCATCGCAGATGCTGTGGTGGCATAAAAACTACAGAATGAAGAAACATAAAACGTTTGACAAATTAACGACAAGCTCTTTCACCTATTGTCTTTACAACCTGTCATAATTGAATGTATGTACTTCCCATTAACTTTACAAACATTATTCTGACAAAAGTTTATACTTTTGTAATTATTTTGGCATGACAAAAACAAATATTTTATACCATAACAAACAATTAAATATATAGAGGATATTCAAGTTTTTTCTATAAATACAGGATTTATTTTCATTGAGTGGTATGAAAATGAGTATTTCATGAGTGGCAGTAACCACGAGTGAAATATGATAATTTTCATGCCACAAAATGACAATATATCATGTACTTATAGAAAAAAGATGAATTTTCTGTTTATTATATACATTTTCCCTTTTTTGACATAACAATTTGAAAGAATTTCCTTTAAATTTTGTGTATTGGCAGAATTTATGAGAAAGTCAAGTCCGGCAAGACACCAGTGAAAATATGGAAAATATGCTTCACTGCACTAAAAAAAAATTATTACAGTGAAAATATGGAAAATGAAAATACACATTTTTTTCATCAATATGTCTCAATATTTCATTTAAAAGTATATCATAAACATGTAATCATTATTATATAAAATGTAAAATAATATGATATTATCCAATAGTACATCTGAAATATTCTTACGCGTAAGAACAAATAGGACATACAAATAAGGAACGATTTGGTGGTGTGATGCCTATTTTCCTCTACTGAATCTGATGATATTAGTTAATCAAACAAGCAAAACTGACCGATTCAATGAAGTATCAACTGTGTACAAAGAATTATTTCAATTAATTGTAATGCCATCCAGAATCTTCAAATAAACTTGTTATACACCAAGTTTGATTACAATAATTTATTCCTAACACTAGTTATTGTACGGAAACCATTTTTCAATTTTAAGTAACGGTGACCTTGACCCCAGGGGGTTTAAATGCAATACCAACAGGGGTCTCCACACAAGCTTGCTATACACCAAGTTTGGTTACAATATCTCATTCCTAGTTATTTTACAGCAACAATTTTTCTTTTTTTAGTAACCGTGACCTTGACCTTGTTCCCAGGGGGTCTAAATGCAATACCAACCAGGGCCTTCATAAAAAGCTTGCTACACACCAAGTTTGATTATAATATCTCATTTCTAACTCTATTTATTGTCCAGAAACATGTTTTCTATTTTAAATAATGGTGATATTGACCTTGACCCAAGGGGGTTGAAATTCAATACCAACCAGGGTCTCAACAAAAGCTTGCTATACAATAAGTTTGATTATAATATCTTTTTTCTAACTCTAGTAATTGTCCAGAAACCATTTTTCTATTTTTAGTAACGATGACCTTGACCTTGCTCCCAAGGGGTCTTAATGCAATACCAATCGAGATTTTTACATAAGGTTTGATTACAATATCACATTCTGAACTCTAGTTATCGTCCGGAAACCATGACATGGACCGACTGACTGACGGATGGACGGACGGACCGACAGACAGACCAAAAAGATGAATCCTATATACACCCCCCCCCCCCTAAACTTCATTTGTGGGAGTATTAACTATACCACATTAAAATGAAACGCCATCAAAAGTATGTGTACTTACAATATCCATTTGTGACTATCTTGTTTAAAGGTAGCTACTGTTGTTTTGACTTCATCTATTCCCCACCACCTGGGCACATGATCAGCATGATTCCTCTCAGATGTTGGTTCATCAAAAGGATTACACAAACCTTCAAGGAAATGTAGAAGTGGCATACCATATAGCCAATTTGGGTTTTTTCCAAAGTGATTCGCCTTTTGGAGAAACTTTTGTAAGGATTGAACCAGTCTTCTGCAAAACACAATATAGCCAGTAATACAGCAAAGAAAAATCCGAAATATTGTAATAAAAAGATTGTGTCTTGATTATGATAAATGTAAAGATGGTAAATAAATGTATGGTTTGGCTGAGACTTACTTTTTGTCTGGAAAATATTCCAATACATCGCTGAGTTCCGTACATGTTTTGTTCTGTGCATCCCCTTTCACCAACAAAAATTTACAAGTTCTTTGCCAATTTGTCTCATCAAGTATGACATCAACTTCATCGCAAACCAAAACTATGCATATTGCACGCAGTACTCGAATATGAAGATGATTCAACTTGGTAGATTGGCGATTGAGAGAATGTCCCATTGAGTAAGTACGCTGTAAAACTTTTTAAAAAATTATTTAATAAATATTTCTTTTTTTCATTTTAAATTTATATAAAATAAAAAAGCCTTTTTTAATATTAATTTTTTTTCTTAAGTTTTGTAGTTTTCAATTGTTTTTGTTATTAAAATATTGGAAAATTTTGTTATAAAAATTGAAAAATTTTAAAATTTTGAACTGTTCAATTATGGAAAAAAAGAAAAATAATGACCTACTAGTTATAACCAATCAATATGTGAAATATAAAGACTTTGACATTTGAACTAGTGACATCAATATGACTAATAAATATGTGAAATATAAAAACTTTGTGATAAAAAAAATTTCCAGGTGATAAGTGGAAACCATAATTATTTACATTAAAAGCCCCTGTGACCTTGACCTTTGAACTAGTGATGGGGTCATCTACTACATTTGTACATATGGCTATTCAAAGTGAATATGAAATATGAAGCCTTTGTGATAAATAGTTTTCATGATAATGAGCGGAAACCATACAACAATTCAAAGCCCTGTGACCTTACCCTTTGACAAAGTGATTCCAATATCAATAGGGGACATCTACTAGTTATGACCAATCAATATCTGAAATATGAAGACTTGGTGATAAATAGTTTTTAAGATAATGAGTGGAAACCATGTGGTCTATAGATGGACAGACCAACCGACATTAGCAAAACAATAAACCCCCTCTTCTTCGAAGGATGGGCATAATTAGAAAAAGACGCACTTAAGCTGTACAAGCACTTACGTATCAGATCGACACCAGCTGCTTGTAGAGAACATTTTCATGAAGCAACATAGCAGACAAATGCAGAGTTGAGATGATCCAGTGAATTCCTTAATTGTATATAATATAGTAATTGATTTTATCATATAATTAAATTTAAATATGTCAAAATTGTGATATTGATGACATATGTGTGGAAGCAACATGATTACAATGATGACAATAAATGTTTAACTGAATTATACTCTTACGTTCCTTCCGTATTCTTGTTCATTGATAAACAATCGATTATCGACGTAGTATACTTTCCGGAGACCGTTGTACAAACATATAAGCTCCTGCACAGATTCAGCAGGTAAACAGGTAGTTTTTGTCAAATTGAACTCTGATTTAAAACCATTTTGGGGCAAAAAATTTTTGGGGAAAACGTTAAATGCATAAAACGGGGTTGTTTTTTTTCAGTCTCCCCCAAAATAATGGGTTTATAACCCCTTTGAAATTTATTTTTTCCGCATAGGTTTTCAAAGACAAAAAATCCATCATATTGGTGCCATTCATCTGGAAGTGGTAAATCCAATATAAGTAATAACTTGCAATCATCATTTTAAGATTTATTTGAGAATATATTATACTGTTTTCTGTAGATTTTTTATTTGTTAAGTCAGTTTGTAAACTTTTGCATCAATCTAAGGAGAGGTTGTGTTGCAGGTTAGAGAATTGAAAGAATGTGGGTCATTATAAAAATAAACACGCTGGTTCAATGCGCCTGCAATTCAATTTGCGCCAAAATAGTAAAAATATGTCCAAACTTCAGTGCGTGGGAATTTTGCTGGTTTTGCTTAGGGTTCGTACAGCAATCCCGATTGATATAAAATTCAAGGACTTTTTAAGCACTTTCTAACCTTTTTTTCCATTTTTCAAGCACAATTTGTTGAGTCTATATCCTCGTAACACAATGTTTAGCCAATATTAATTTATAAGTCATTCTTTGTTGAAAACACATTTTCTGGCTACAGTACACTTTAACAGTTAATATCGAATAACAACAAAGATGGCAACAAATACAAACTTAACTGCCACCCTGTTGTATGGCCCCCTGTTAAAACCCTAACTTCAATATATCACGCCCCCCACCCTCCCCAAAAAAAAAAAAACAGAATAGTATTTTTAATGTTAACTCTTTTCATGTAGATTTATAACTGTGCTTATAAGCAGAAAAGGTTTGAAAAGAGCAAGGTAATCGTTTATCCGCTCTTTTGTTGTTTTATCTGTCAATCAGTCAGGCATCATCGTTACAAAAAATCTCAAATTCATACCGTAACTCTGACATGCAAACATTGCTGAATTAAGTTAATCACACAAGCCCAAAGTCAATCATAAAGCCTACACTTTTTACAAATGGTGTTTGATTATCTAAGGGACACAACTAATGCTGGAAGCTTTCACTACAATTGAAATGGCTAACTGTTTCCATTTGTGATTTATGTTTTTCTTTTGTACTGGTTTTCAGTCTTTTCAATATAAATAAAATAACATGAAAATATGATACATATCTACATTATTAAATTGTTTTACAAAAATAATGTCAATATTCATTAAATGGTGAGTAAAAATCATTAGCATTATACATAGAATTGCAGGTGGTGGGGTAATGCAGAAATCTCGTGATGAGCGTTACATATCAGAATCTGGCTAAATGCTGTGTTGAGACCTTGGAATACAAGATGAGCATTATAGAGGGATTGAAGTGAAGTTTAAATCAACTGCAATATGTGCCTGTTACATTGAGCAAACATTACAAAATTCATTGCATGATTTTGGTACTGATTTTGGTTTTCTGTTGTTGTTTTTTGTTTTCTTTGGGTAACTGTTCATTTTTACCGACACAAGTCTGTCATTCAATCATTTTCAAGCACATTTGTATGGAATTTAAGCACTTTTTAAGCACTTTTAAAGAGAGTAATCAAATTCAAGGACTTTTAAGCACTATTATCTTTTTTAAGCACTTTTTAAGACAGGTACTGAAATTTAAGCACCTTTTAAGACTGTACGAACCCTGTGCTATTTAACTGTCCCTGCTGGGCCTAAACCATTAGATTTTTAACCAGAAAGTTGAAGTCCCTATGATTTCTGGGCAGAGATACAATTGACTTGTTTATTGTTAATAAAATGCTTTCAACACAACATAAGTCATAATAAATATTTGTAAATATTATAATCTGACCAAACTTTAGGTCACTGGACAAAAATGAAAGAAATTTATTGACACTGTAAATTGTATAAATATCCTAAATTATAGGAAGATGGGTAAAAAAAGTAATTTTTAAATCTAGGTCAATTTATCCCGTCCGTACATTTTCCATGAATTTCCATGAAAACTTCCGGAATTTTCATGGAAATTGCCAACTCTGGTTAATTCGGACTAGTTTTCCGGAGTTGTTCAAAGAAAACTGAAAAAAAAATCGCGAATTTTCATGTACTTTCTCCATGAATTTCCAGAGCTTTTTTCATGAAACTTTTCCAGAGTTTTCCATGAAAATGTTCCAGAGTTTTCAAAGCAACTCTGGAAATTGTTCTGCTAAAACGACATTCTACTCCGGAAAAAATGTTCAGGAGTTACTCTGGAAAATGTTCCGGAGTTACTCTGGAAAATGTTCCGGAGTTACTCTGGAGAATGTTCCGGAGCCGCTGTGGAAAAAATTCCGCAGTTAAAAATAGAATATGGGGTAAGATGCCATTCAGCCTTGAAACAATTCTGGAAATACTATGGAATTCACTCTGGAACATTTTGGAATTACTGAAATGATGGTTGCATAATAAAATCAAATGACCTTTTAATTTGCATTTAATATGTTTTTATTAGCAAATCCAAAAAAGCACTCTAGTCATCAAAAATTCAAACACATATAGTAATTTGCACATTTCACAATTATTTCTAAGTCAGAGTGTTTTATTCAAACAAATGTAATTTAACATCCATCTAGTACACATGTATATATCCTTCACTTCACATGATGCAACATCTTCTTGACTTGTGGTGTGACCTCTCTGGTGGTGGATACTGAAAAATATGAATTAATTGTATATAAATACATGTACTTGTGTTATATGCACAATGTCAATATAATTAGTATTGTTTAAACAGGATTGATAAAAAACATGAAAGGGTGAAAAAAGTTAAGATGGAAAACTTTCAATTCAATGATTTTTGCAGAATATCAGCACAGAGTTATCAAGTAAATACCATGCTTTGATGAAAATTAATTTTTTTGGTCAAAATCAACATTATGATAAACTTGTGTCAATTATTTCCCTGCTTTTCCTATATCTATGTAATGACAACTTTATGTAATGGCAGTTTAAATTACTCAATGATCTTCACAAGTACTTAATTACCACTGAAAGTTTGAGATGTGTTCAGTGGAGTCAGAATAGAGATGTGTTCAGTGGAGTCAGTATAACAATAATATATGCATAAAACATGAATAACAACATTTTGTTCAGTGTTTGGAAAATAGCATGCATTTATATGAAAACATGTTACTTCGACTTTTTTCAACAAAACAAACTAAATTATTACCAGGATAGTTCTGTAAGCATTCTGTATTCAACAGTACGTTTATCACTTTTCCCTCATCTGATATCCTTTGAGAGGAAACATCTCATGTGACTCCAAGACTTGAAAGTTTGCAACCTAATATGTTGAAAAAATAAACATATGTACATGAGTAACAAGAAATTACAATTAAGGCATATGAATTTTATTAAATGTGAATTTGGAAATTCATTGCTTGATATGGAATCTGTTTCAATCACAAATATTTTGAATGGAAAATTATAATCTCTGATTTAAAATTTCCCGCCATAATTTAAAAATGAAAAAGATTTTCTTAACTATTAATATTGTAAAGTTACATGTATGTAGAAATACAATCACTAAAACAGTGTATACTTGCAAAGAAAATTTGAAAAAACTAAAATAATAAGTGTTAAAAAATAAAAATACATTTGTACTTACTGTTAGAAATGGTTATATATACAATGATATACATGTAGTTCCCTCCATTTTATACATGAAATACACATGTTTAAAAATTCATATTTCCAGAAAACTTTTGTAAATTTGTCCAGTTTAAACTCATTTGATCTAATATCCAATGCTCAAACATAATTTTTCAAGTTATAACTTTTAAGCAGTTAGGCACTTATAAACATTATCTTTCAATGCTTCTGTTCAAATGACCCGCCTGGAAGGAGTGTTCTGACCTGTGATTTGTTCTGCAAGGGTATTAAGTTACTTGGGAGCTACAGTGTAATATAGTATGTTGTAAACCTGCTTTACCTCTTTCTATTCTCTTATATCAGAGAGGTGAGTTTAACTTTGGTGTTTATGAAAACAGTGGCTTCCACTTGAGGGGTCATAAATATTTACATTGTGGCTGATGCTGATTTGAATGTTCCAGAAATTAATCACTATACATAAGTTACTTCTACACAGGATGAATATATAGATAAAATATATACTTCAATAGAGATACATAATAAATTTATCATCACTTAATAAAGAAACATAAGTGCATAACAATTACATTTGTTCTTAAATTTAACTTGTTTCTCTTTAATTGTGTATTTATTTTTTCTAACTGAGGGTAATATATAATAATGAATCACTCAGATCTGAGGCTTGATATGAGATACCTTGAAAATAATGAGAGTTAAATGAAAAAATACCTTAATGCATTTTCAATGCCAAAGTGTGGCAATGGAGTTGCATGTGTTTTTTTTTAAGTTTTCTTTTTTGTTTTTTTTTTTTTGTTTTTGTTTTTTTTTGCAATAAGAAAAGAAATAGTTGAGCTCTTGGGGGGCTTATTACGGTTTCATTTTGTTTAACTATAAGTGTTTATTTTGCTAACTGCTACTTTTAATTACAATGAGTACACATGTATGACCAATCTCAATGCTAAGTAATTAAATTCATTTGTTCTTGCTGTTTCAACAATTTACAATTGTGTCAATGCCATATTTTAAATTGTCTTTATTTTCATTATGTCTTAAAACCAGAAAACTGTCTTATATTAAAAAGATTATTTATGCCTACTTAGGAAAAAATATTAAAGTTAAATGTATTAAGTGAAGTATATGTAAATGCAGAAATAAAATGAAAACTTCCTAAGTCCAAAACTTTCTCAAAAATGACTAAGTGTTTTCCAGAGTAAAACTGCTTGAAAATTGTCTAAGTGTTAACTTTCCAGAGTTTCCAGAACTGTTTCATGGTTTTTTCTTTGATGAAAAAGTCAAGTTCCAGAGTTCTCCATGAAAATTGTTCCAGAGTACTCTGTAAATACTGTGGAAAAAAGCTTGTTTCCATGAAAATTCATGGAAATTCATGGAAAATCAGTTATTTTCCAGAGTTTTTCCAGAAAGACTGTGGAAAATCTACAGACGGGCTATCAATGTTCATTTGTGCACATAGTCCAGCTTTACAAACAGTTGGTTACTATCTATAGTAAATATTATGAAAATATATTGACATGTTATTAAGATCCAAAATTAAGAACGACAAAACCTGTGTAAACAAAGCCGATAAACACCACTCAGACTGATATTTTTTTGATTCTAACAATAAACAAGAGGGCCATAATGGCCCTGAAATCGCCCACCTGTATATAAGCCCTTAGGATGGCGCTAATTAAACCCAGGTGCTTTTTTAACCAACTTGGTAGACACCCATTAGAAGAATGTTTCATGATAAATATCTAAGCTCTAGCTCTTGGGTTTTTTTAAAGAAGATTTTTTAAGTTTTTACTATAGACATATAAGGAAAATCAGACTCCAGGGTAGAGCCAATTTTAACCCCAGGGCTTTTTTTGAACAAACTTGGTGGACACTCATCAGACAATGTTTCATGCCAAGTATTTAAGCTCTGGCTCTTTAGATTTTTTAAAAGAAGATTTTTTAAGTTTTTACTATATACATATAAGGAAAAGCAATGACCCCTCGGTGCTCGATAAAAAATCATTCTTCAAACCCCCACCCATGTTACTTTAAAATGACCTCATTCTGACGCCTTTATGAATGCACTGCCAACTTAGGATGATGTCATTATGCAGCTTACTTTATGGCACCGATTTGTCTTATAGATTTTTTTTCAACTGATATGGGCAAACCTTTGGCGTCAGTGAATGTGAGATGTTATTTTAGCATCATATGAAAAATAAAACTTGATAAGAACAAAAAATATCAATAAAAATCATTATCTTACTGTTGCCTTAAAAATAGACTTTGTAAACTATTTTATCGAGGGTGAAAAAATAACAGCCGCATATACATGACCATTTATTTCTTCCTTGTGTATAGTGACATAGTTATGATGTGTGTTAGAATGCGACTTATATCATGGCTAAAGCTCTCAAAAAGAAGCAAGTAGGACACAAGGTCTTTACTTATGTCAACTTATGTCAACCAAAGCTTAATACCTTTACGATTTCAGAGGAGAAGGTTGTTTTATGTTTTTACTGACTCCTCCTAGGGAGGAGCCCATTTTTATTACAGGCCTTTAATTTGATATCCTAAATAAAGGTCTACTGAACAATTTTTCAGGGCAAATTTATTAATTCTGGCATTTATATTTCATATTGTGAACGTAAAACTGTGTCTCTGTGGCAAGGATAATTCTAACCCCGGGCCTCCAATTTTGACAACCTTAAAAGAGATCAACCAGACATTATTATTGTTGTAGTTTTTCGTTTGCTTGTCATGACAATGTGTTGGCGTGGATTGACTTTTTAAACTTTAAAATATGATCATCCAAAGAATACTGCTAGAAAATGTTGATATTATTGCCTCAGTGGTCGAACAGATACCTGGCGTAGATAATTATTACAAGATCTTTCATTGAGCACATGATACTCATGTGAGCAAACGCAAATGGAATAAGTTATGTGTTTTGTCAAAGATTTGGTTACTCTCATACATAAAACTTACAATTTTTACTGTTCACATTATATATCTTATGTCAGCAAAAAAATCATATGTTATTATCTCAATCACATTTCTTAGCGTAAAGGAATGAAATAAATGCCTCCTTAACAGGACACATATTATTATGAAGATCTACCTTTTTTAGCTAGCAGGTGTTTGCTGACATACAACCTTCTGTTATGATACTGGTCGTTACAATTGTAGACATAGTAATCTTCCCATTCAATGCACATTTTATTTTCCCTAAATTCTGCCACTGCATATTTATATCTGACTGGATTTCCAAGAGAAAGCAAATGTCTTTCAATTTCAAGTGTAATCTGCAATTCCACAAAATTGTTGTCCTGCCTGAAACGACGAATATTGAAAGAATCGTCTTATCGCAAAAGAAAACGGCAACGCCTTATCAATGTACATCAGACTTATTTAAAATCGATGTTTATTAGAAAAATAATGTTATTACTTTAAATGAATGTAGTAATTGCAATCATAAGTTGGTGAAACATGATTGTATTTTAGTTTCTACAAAATATAATTGTATTTTAGTTTCTACACTAACTGCATCATAATTTACATTACAGAACAACGATCCGTTTAAAAGATGCAAGCCCAGTTCTATCCTTATGCATTAATTTGTTTCTTTGTTTCCATGCATCTTTTTTCACGAATCCGCTCTTTGAACATTCCTTAACGCTTTCTTTTGCTGTTGTTTTTATGTTGTTTTTTTTACCCATGTTATAGAACAATATTATTGATACCTGACAATTTGCAGCACGTTTTGGCTACTACTCCAGGCACCGAATTGAGACAAATTCGTTCTAAACAACACTTGTCTGTTCCTCCAGACTAGACTTGGTGAAGAAAGAATGTGGAAAACTACTTTTATTAAATCACCTGTTCCTCCTGTACATGTTCTGAAAGACAAATTATGTTTCTACAAAGTATCTTTTAAAAAGAAAAACGGCTTAAACTCAGTACATGCTAATTGCAGTATATATACAGAACATTGTAAAAGCCAATATTTAACTAAATAACCTCAATGATTTTTGTGAGAAATATTTCATTGTTACTTAAATATTGCTGAATGTAAATGAAAGCTTTAAAATCAAGGTTAAAATTGTGGACTGAATTTGAAAAATACGAGGCGTACCCGCCTTACAAACTTCAATCAGCTTTTTTTGTAAAATACAAGACCGACCACACAAGAAATATTTGAATTACTCAATTAAAAAGAGTTATGTTCCAGACAAAGTTCAAAGTGTAAAAATAAACAAAGGGCAATAATTCAAAAATAAGGCAAGGCAGAGTTACGGTTCTTGTGCACAGCACACCTACTCAGTGAGATCTATCTACCTACAAAATTGCATGTTGATACCTCTTACTGTTTCAAAGTTATGTCCCGGACAATAAAAGCGGATGGACGGTCGAAGGGCTGGACAAAGTGGCGACTATATGCTCACCTTTCGGGGAGCATAAAAATGTACCTGCTGGCACTAGGTTGTTGGCCTTGTTGTGAATTCCCAGCTAGTTCGGATTGTGTTTTCTCTTTTTCGTTCTGTAATTGATGAACAAATTTATATAGTTAAGCAACAGAGATATATTTATAACAAAATGAATGCAAGAACATTTCACTGACCATTACCATTACTTTAATTATCAATAATTAATGTTTCAGTGACCATTCTTATCACGAATTAAAAGCAACTTGATATTCATTATTATTGAAATATTGTTTATGATGAGTAATTGTTTGTTCAAAATCGTATCTTTATGTCAATAGATGACCAAGATAAGCATGTCATTGTTTCAACTTGCACTCTAATTTGTGTCCTTATCATGATCAACTGTTTAACTAAATTAAAATATTACAAGAAATAGTTTCTAATAAAGTACTATTTTGATTATCACCAAAGACTTTCTTATCTTTCTTAAAATAATTTAACAACGATATTTGAGTAAAAGGCTAATAATTATTTTAAAAAAAAAGAATGTCTATTTTTCCAAAAATAAAAGTTTATATAAATAGAAACCATTTCGTTCTTTTTCATCTTTTCTTCTTCATCAAATTTCTGTTCCGTGTCATTCACATTTGTTTCCTCCAAATTCTTTTTTTCAAGTTCTTTTACAGATACTACGTTATCTGTAAGGGAATTACTGAAATTATCGTCTGGGCTAGTTTTCATGTCGTTTTCAAACGAGGCTGTTTCATTTATTGCCTTGTCATCTCCTGATTGGTTCTTCATATTTTGAAAAAACTTGGAATTGTTAGATCTGGCGGGTAGATAACCTTGTTATCTAACATTACACTTTTTTCTTTATCGCTGATGCTCCCATCACCAAAAACAAAAGTTGTATCTTTTTCTGTCACGATACTACTGTCGCAGACACCTACCTGTTCAACAGCTTCACCTTTGCTTTTGTCATCATTTGTTTCTTCTTCTGTTTGGTTCGTATCTAGGTCAAGCTGTTCATTGCCCATTTTGACATTCTTGTTCTGTTCTAGGTTAAATCTCTCAGCATGTCCTTTACTCTTACGTTCTCTTTTCTTTACCTTTTTTGCTTTTGTTCCCCCTCCTCCACTTTTCCGTTTACGCAAATCATTCTGACTCGTTCCCTTGCCCGACAGCATTGTTTCATCAGGCGTTGACTTATTCTCTCCTACGGGGTCAGTATTTATTTCTTCACTTTCTATTTCAGAATCATTTTCGGATTCATATTGTGTGACTTTTTCATTTTCGTCGCACAATAGCTGTGTAACAGTCGAATGGGATAATGAATATTCACTTCCAGCTAAATTCTGTGATTCTATGAAATTACAAAAAGAAATCAGCCTTAAATTCATTACTTTTATAGATGATAGTATTTCAGGTTTCAGTCATAATATGAGTTCATGGCATAAAATATTATGGTATAAGCTCTTAAGAACTCATTGAATATATCACAGTTCAGTATTTAAATCTAAAAAGTGTTCATACCTAATTTTAAGCAAATTAAGACCATCTATTTTATACATCTGAATCAAGAATAACTTACTTAAACATCAACATAAATTAATTTTTTTAATGATTCAAAGAAATGATTTGAAGATAAAATTGCAAGCAAAATGTATTGATTCTGTAATGATATTTGTTGTATGTAACAGGCAGTTATACATTCCTAATAAATGTATTTACCATTTAATGATAATGTTTCATCTTTATTTTCTGCATTTCCTTTTGACATGTTAGCATCAAGAGTTTTTGAATCTACGAAGTGCGTATCAATATGAACATTAAGCTGACTGATTGCCGTCTGCTCACAGACATTTTCACTTAAACTTGTTTTTATCAGTTCGCGTTGTGAGTGTTCTTCATCTTCAGTAGTGTCTCTAACATTAGCACAATTTGAATACACAGCATCCGTCCGTTGCAGCACTTCCAAATTTCTCTGTAGAGATGATTCACCGTCAAAGGTACAATTTACTAATTCATCTGTTGGCTTACGTCCTTTAAACAGATGGTACAATATATTTAAAATGCATTATCATAATATACTTTTCATATTATTGATGAACAATAATATAGTATTGTCCAATCTTTAGCTGATCTCTAATTAAAATATTATGCTGATCAAAATTGATCCGTTATCTTTTTGTTCACTTATTTTCATTATTATCCTTATTCTCAAATAATTAGTTTTATTATAATTATTGTCATTTAATACTCAAATTCAACTTTGATCCCATGGTCTGTGATTTAACGTACAGTTACAGCTGGTAGTGCTTACAGGAAATCGACTTAAGATATCATCATATAAGTAATTATTTAGTAAGTTATTTTCGTAGCCATTTATGTTTGCCCTTAAGTATGTATAATACAATTATTTAATACTCTGATATGAAGTTAGAGATAAATCTTTTTATTTGCTTCAAATTTAAATTTCTATTACTTTGTTCATATATTAAAAATATATTTACATACAGGCAATTAAAAAATGAGCTTATTCACAGGAAGGCCTGATTGAAACATTTATACCATATCAGTATAATCCTCCCTTTAATATACATTGTTTTTGAAAGCTGCTTAACAAAAACATGTAAACCTACTTTGAATATTTTTTGTATTTATTACCGTATTAAACTTAATAATATTACCTTCAGTTCCTGTTATTTCAACTTTATTGTCATCTGTTTTTGACAAGGCTTCATTATGAATCAAAACATTTGCACTCTTTTGAGCATCTTTTTCACTGTAACTTGGTAGTGATTTTACATCAAAGGTATCATTCTGTGCACCAGTTTTAACTTCAGGATTATCTCTATCAGTTTGTTGGCTCACATTTCCACTTAAATTCCTTGGTATCTCATTGTCATTTGGAAGAGGCATGCCTTCATGATTGTCATTAATTTCGGCAACAGTTGAGCGTTCTTTTTCATTACTTTGTGCAAGTACATTATTTCTCTCAAAGGGAAACCCATCTTTGTCGGCATGTTTTACTAATTCTTTATGTATTCGGTTTCCTATAAACGTCAAAAAGATTAATAACCTAAGAGTCAAAATGTCTTTTGAGAAAACTGAAAATTGAATTTTCAAAACGACAACTTTATATTTTGACCATATTGTTTTCTAGCTTCTTATGAATTTTTTCTCAGAAAATACTTGAAAATAAATGGAGCTGATGTATGTGCTTACATTCATTTGTGATAATGCGTTTCAAAGATGCAGCGGTAATGGACAGAAAGTCTATTCAACTTCTCAAATTAATATAACACATATTTTGCCTAACTGTTGTTATTAATTCTGTATTATAACAAAGGTTTGCTTTACCTTTTGTTTCTTTTATTTCATCTGTTCTATTTTCGTCATATTTTGAGGCATCTACATCATGAATTGGAATGGGTTTACTCTTTTGATTATCTTCACCCTCTTTACGAAATGTTGATTTCAATTCTACATCTTTAGCATCAATAGGCACACCATTTATCACTTCAAACTGACTGCTGTCTGTGCTTTCTTTCTGTTCTCTTTCATTTCTAGTTATTTCATTGTTGATTGTTAGTGGTTTGCCTTCACATCTGTCACTTATTTCCGTAAATGTAGAGCACGCCTTATCATTACTTGGTGTTAGTGCAGTATCAGCGGTTGATGCATCTTGATCAGCACTTCTAACAGTTTCTTTTTCTGTTTTAGCATCAGATATAATAACATTACAAACGCAACAGTCATAAAAAATCGTGATGGCGATGTTGGCATTGTTATCTTGAACAGAATATTATCAAACCTTTTGCAAATTCCTTTATAAAATGTCAATCTTCATCATCATTACTATTATATATAGTTATTTAGAAATGTTTAAATTGTAGTTAATCTACGTTATAGCTTAAACAAATTCAATTTAGGCAGTGGTTTTTTGCAATTTTTAGAACAACTTGTGGCTTTCTGAAGGTGAAAATATAGCGCAAACCAACATTTTATAGAATTTTCATTTTCATTTCAATTTAACAGGCATTGTACATAGCAGAGGCTATCTATAGGAACAGCTTTATCTTCTAGCTGATATTAGTCAGATGCTGTATGGTTTTGGTGAAGAATGTGCACAGGGCATTTTAAGGGAAAATATTAGCATTTTTAGGGGAAAATATACCTTTTTTGGCTAGGGAATACAGCCTTTATTCGGCTGTAAAATACACGAAATCACTGTTAGGTTAGATGCCAATAGATAGCATAAAAATTTTGATTTGAAAAAGGCATTTACCTTTGGATGTGTCTTTCTTTAAGCCACATTCAGCGCAAAATAAACTTCCCGGCTCTAGAATAGTTTCACATCTCTGGCATTTTTCTGACAAACGTTCAAATAGACTTTTGTCAATTCGAGTTCCACATTTAGTACAAAAGTTTTGTGTCTGTTTCAAGTCTGCTCCGCATGGTTTACTTTCGAATGTCCCGTTACATTTAATCAACACTTCTGCAGATATGTCTATCATTTTACTGCCACATGACTGACAGAAGTTACCGTTACCCTGCCAGCCACAATTTGAATTGGAACATCTCATATTATGTTCTGTAAAAAAATATAAGCTTTAAACAATGAATGTTTGTTTCTGACCAAGGAACTATTAGTTTTTAATTCAATTCGTTATTTGTCGTACATTTCTTGCATGGATCCAGACAGAGCTAAGTAGTTTGAGCTCGCAAAACCTAGTGGAAATCTGCATAATTTTACACCTATTTCCCTCTGGAAAACTAGAAAAATGTCATCCCCTCGCCCTGAAATTGCTCACCTGTATATAGGCCTCTGGGCCGAGGCCAATTTAAAATCAGGGGCTTTTATTTGAACAAACTTGGAAGACACCCATTAGAAGATGTTTCATTATAAAATATCTAAGCTCTAGCTCTTTGAGGGTTTTATTAGAAGATTTTACATAAAAACAATGATCCCCCCCCCCCTAGGAGGGGCCAATGTTGACCCCAGGGCTTTTATTTGAACAAACTTGGTAGACACTCACTAGAAGATATTTCATGCTTAGTATCTAAACTCTAGCTCTTTGGGTTTTTTATAAGAAGATTTTTTAAGTTTTTACTATACACATATAAGGAAAATCAATAAACCCCGTGGCAAGGCAAATTTTTTACTCAAGGGCCCTTTTTTAACAAACTTGGTAGACACCCATTAGAAGATGTTTCATGGTAAATATCTAAGCTCTAGCTCTTTGGGGTTTAAAAAAAGATTTTTAAGGTGTTTACTATATATTAAAAGGAAAAAACCAATGACCCCCTAGGTCGGGCTAATTGTTACCCCAGGGCTTTTATTTGAACAAACTTAGTAGACCTACACTAGAAGATGTTTCATGCTTAATATCTAAGCTCTAGCAATTTTGCTTTTTAAAAGAGGATTTTTTAAAGTTTTTACTAAATTCAAATAAGGAAAATCAATGACCCCCTGGGGCGGGGCCAATTTTTACCCAAGGGCTTTTATTTGAACAAACTTGGTAGACACCCACTAGAGGATGTTTCATGTTTAATATCTAGGCTCTAGATATTTGGGTTTTTGAAAAGAAGACTTTTTAAGTTTTTACTATATACAAATAAGGAAAATCAATGATACCCCCCACCCCCACGCCACTTTGTGACAGGTGAGCTAAAAACAATTGATGAAACACAAACAATATTTACAACTTAAATTCATCCAAACATCATAGAAGTTGGACTTCTATATCTGTTGATGATCGCCCAACTAAATGGTGAAGCTCAAATACTACAATATACACAACTGTTGCACATCCAATATCAGAGAAGCTGAGTTTCTATGTATTCTGTGGTACGTTTTTCTTTAGTGGACAATCAGCAACTACAGGAGTTATATCCTTTTCTTACACGGAAAGCCCGTGTGGGCTGTAACGCCCTTAGATAACCTGTATGACGTGTATAAGTTAGAATATAATCACATTAAAATCAATAGAACAATATATGTCTAAGTGAACAAGCAATTTTGTTGAATTTATTACTTACACAACAACTGGAGACATAAGGCTTTATTTATATACATGTATTTATCATAACATGAACAGTAATATTCTTTGAACATGATAAAATTTCAGGGCAATAACAGAAGCCATAACTCTCTGTTAAAGAGTATTATCTGGACATGCCAATGAGATACAAATTGCTTTTTTTGTATTAACGGTTCCCATAAAGTTTTGTTTGAATCAATTCAGCATTTGCAAAGAAATAGCAATATTGCTCTATATGCATTCTACATAAATACTCAAGGGTCATTACTCTGTGTTAAAGCGTATTGACGGTTCCAATATAGTTTTGTTGCAGTTGCAGAGAAATAGCATAGAAATGATTATATGCATAATGCATAACTCATCAAGGGCCATAACTCTGTGTTGAAGGGTCGAACCGTAACAAGGCGATGATATGCGCATCTCCTCTTGGTATTGATGGTTCCCATAAAGTTTCATTGAATTCCAAAGTACTTGCAGAGAAGTAGCACAGAAAGATTATTGCTCTATATGCATACTGCATAACTAATCACAGGTCATAATTCTGTGTTGAAGGTCGGACTAGAGCAAGGCGACGCTATGCGCATCTCATCTTGGTTTTGAATGTTCCCATAAAGTTTCGTTGAATTCCAGCAATTAGTTGCAGAGAAGTAGTGTGGACACCATTATTACTCTATATGCTTACTGCTTACGGGCCATAACTCTGTGACGAAAGGTCTAACTAGAGCTGGGCAACAATATGCGCACTCTCTCTTGGTATTGATGGTTCCCATAAAGTTTCATTGAATTCCTGCCTGTAGTTGCAGAGAAATAGCACGGAAACGATTATTGCCTTACATGCATAATACTTACCTAATCAAGGGACCTTACTCTGTGTTGAAAGGTCGGACCTAAACAAGGTGAGGATATGCGCATCTCATCTTGGTATTGATGGTACCCATAGTTTCATTGAATTCAAGCAAGTAGTTGCAGAGAAATAGCACAGAAATGACCATTGCCTATATGCATATAGCATAACTAATCAAGGGCCATAACTCCGTGCTGAAGGGTTAAGCCGGAACAAGGCGACGATATGTGCACATTGTCTTGGTGCGACATGTCTTGGTATTGTAATTGATTGTTCACATAAAGTTTCATTGAATTCCTGCCAGTAGTAGCAGGAAAGTAGCGCGGAAACGATTATTAATTGCTCTATATGCATACTGCATAACTAATCAGGGGTCATAACTCTGTGTTGAAGTGTCGGGCCGGAACAAGGCGATAATATGAGCATCTCCTCATGTTAATGATGGTTCCAATAAAGTTTTATTTAATTCCTGCCAGTGGTTGCAAATAAGTAGTTTGCTCTATATGCATAATCAAGGGTCATAGCCCTGTGTTAAAAGGTCGGACCGATATGCGCATCGAGATCTCACTTTGGTATTGATGGTTCCCATATAGTTTTGTTGAATTCCAGCCAGTAGTTGTAGTAAACTAGCACGGAAACGAAATTCGGACGTACGGATGGACGGATGTTAACGGAACAGTAATCATGTTGCTACTCTATTGTTCTCTCTATTGTTCTTTTAGCCACACAAAAGAAAGCATTATAGAATGAATGACATCAAAGAGAACATATTGTCCCTCTAGCCACATTATTATTGTCCCGTTAAAGCGTAAGGACGGACGGACTAAAAACGCGAAAACAATATCCCCCGCCAAGGGCGCCGCCATTTCGAAAATATTGCACCGGTTCTATACCTAGATATAACATGATGCTTTTGAAAAAGACTTTCCGCGGATACAGTAACAATATAAACATTTTACAATTCCTAACTTACCAAATATAATAAACAATTGTTGTCCAGAAAGGTTATTTCAGTTCAAGAGACGTAAGTCTTGTATCACTAAACAAGCGTATTCATATTATAAATGAATTCGTCAAGACATTATCTATATCTCAAATAAACTAACGACGCGTCTTTTAAAATGATGACCGCGCGCGGATAAAATTCGAAAACAAAAAAAGTGCAAAAACAACAAGAGGGCCATGATGGCCCTGAGGTCGCTCACCTGTATATAGGCCCCCGGAGCGGGACCAGTTTAAACCCCAGGGCTTTTATTTGAACAAACTTGGTAGACACCCATTAGAAGATGTTTCATGATGTAAAGTTTTTACTACACACATATGATGAAAAACAATGACCCCCCCGGCAGGCCCAATTTTAACCCAAGGGCTTTAATTTGAACAAACTTGGTAGACACCCATAAGAAGATGTTTCATGCTAAACATCTAAGCTATTGCTCATTGGGTTTATTTAAAAGAAGATTTTTTAAGTTTTTACTATACACATAATTAGTTAAAAACAATGACACCCCTGGAGCGGAGCCAGTTGTGACCCCAGGGCTTTTATTTGAACAATCTTTGTAGACACTAGAAGATGTTTCATGCTTAATATCTAAACTCTAGCTATTTCGGTTTTTTCAAAGAAGATTTTTAAGTTTTTGCTAGACACATATTAGGAAAATCAATGACCCCCGGGGCGGGGCCAATTTTGACCCCAGGGCTTTTATTTGAACAAACTTGGTAGACACTCACTAGAAGATGTTTCATGCTTAATATCTAAACACTACCTATTCGGGTTTTTTCAAATAATATTTTTTAAGTTTTTGCTATACACATAAAAGGAAAATCAATGACCCCCGGGGCGGGGCCAATTTTGACCCCATGGCTTTTATATGAACAAACTTGGTAGACACCCATTAGAAGATGTTTCATGCTAAATATCTTAGCTCTATCTCTTTGAGTTCTTTAAAAGAAGATTTTTTTAAGTTTTTACTATATGCATATATATAGGGAAAATCAATGACCCCCTGGGGCGGGTCCAATTTTGACCCCAGGGCTTTTATTTGAACAAACTTGGTAGACACCCATTAGAAGATGTTTCATGCTAAATATCTTAGCTCTAGCTCTTTGCGTTCTTTAAAAGAATATTTTTTAAGTTTTTACTATATGCATATAGGGAAAATCAATGACCCCCCCCCCCCTGAGGCGGGGCCAATTTTGACCCCAGGGCTTTTATTTGAATAAACTTGGTAGACACTTACTTGAAGATGTTTCATGCCAAATATCTAAGCTTTAGCTCTTATGGTTTTTTAAAAGAAGATATTTAAAGTGTTTTCTTTCGGTTGCTATGGCAACCAGAGTTCTGCATGAAATTAAATTCTTTGAACAATTTTTAAAGGTGACCACCAAAGGAACATTCCTGTGAAGTTTGGATGAAATTGGCATAGTGGTTTATGAGGAAATGTCATTTAAAGTAAAAGTTTACGGACGGACGGACGCCGGACGAAAAGCGATCACAAAAGCCCACCCTTTCACTTTGTGACAGGTGAGCTAATAAAATAAATAAAAAAACAATTCTAGAAACAAGTATGTATGTGTTTGACCAGTAATACAGAGTTTTATTTTAAAAAAAGACATATTATTGAATGTTTTACTGACATGCATTGTCTTTTTCAAAGTGTCTGTACTAAATTTTCAAATTAGATATATCAGCAAATTAAATTTAATTTGTTCGATATATTTTGTTCGGTCACAAAATGTAGAAATTTTCGGAGAACGAAAAATGTTTGTTGATAGGAATTAAATCTCTCATATATGTCATAATTTTTTTCTTTTGTGTGTTTGTTTGTGTGTGTTTTTTCTGTTTATTATTTTTTTGCTGTTTTTTTATTATTATTTTTTTTATGTATTACATCACAGAATCCATGTGCAGCCATCGACTAACCCCCTTCCCTCCCCCACACAAGGCCACCCCCACTCCCACCTTGCCATAGCAATATAACAGTGTATATGTTTCTTACATTATGACGTCGGACTTAGTAACGGGGAAAACCTATACTTTCATTTTGACGCGAAGTCGGCTATCAAAGGATCGAAGTCAGCTATCAAATAAAGATAATTAAATGATATAATCTTAAAATGTAAATACAAGCGAATTGTAGGTATCAGACTGCATGTAAAATTATATTGAAAGGTCAACCTGTATAAAGCTATGTCTTTTTAAAAGGTTGCCTAAAGCTATAATGTCTCCTAAACAAACACGTCTGCTAAGTGCAACGATTTTCGTATTCAGAAAATACAAAGCTAACATTCAATCTATGACACAGAAGTTTAACGACAAACCGAACAACAATTAAGTACATTGTAGTTCTCAAAACAGCTTAAAACTAGCGATTTAAAAGAAAGAAATATTTTTATTTTGTTACAAGTATCCAACAAATTACAACGCATTTAAAGTTTAAAAGTAGCGTTGGCTTATAGAATTGTCAATAAATGCACAATCACAAATAACGCGGATGAATATGATTTTAATCAATGAAAATGCTATTTTTAGCGATGTCGATTACCAAATACTACACAAATACACTTAACGAAACTTATAAGTACTCCGATTTCAAACTTGCAGGAAAACTCCGGTTTTCAAAATATATACCAAATCAATGTTGAAAATGTGTACTGACTCTACTTTCCGACTGCATGAATGATTTTAAAACAAAATCAATCATCCGAAACGCAATATGGCGGTCACATGCAAAAACCCGAAAATGGGCACGTGCATTTCGTGCAAGATGCCCACATTGTGTATTTTGATGCAAATTGTTAGTTTATTGATGTGCCTAACATAAAAACACAAAATGGCCCGAATGTCGCTGCAACAAAGAGGAATTGCCATTGGGCTATTACAGGGCGGCAAATACGAGGTATTGACTAAATTGACTAAACTTGAAGGTATTTGATTTTTTTTACAATGGTGATCTCAGTTACTGATTTTCTGTTAAGTTTGAGTTATTGTAAAATGTATTTACTATTATAAAATGATGATACTATGATTAAAGTTTATACAGTATCGACTTAGACTAGTTATAGTAATTCTAACACAATATAATAATCAAAGGGCTGCAAGCTCTGTGATATTTTCTGATCTTTGCAATCTAAATCATACTGACTATCTGTATGTATTTTCCTATATAAGTTTATTTTTATATACTATAATTCATCTTACGCACGACTGCGTTAAGATTTTTTTCCTATAACAGTTTGAGATTGATACATATGGAATTTTGCATGACTAGAGTTGCATCAAAAATCATTTTTTATGACAGCCACACTTTATCCTTGCATATCGTGGCTACTTCCTTAAAAAAGACACTTAAAAAAAAAAGTTGCCTCGACTAGGATTTGAACCTAAGGCCTCTCACACCCTAAACGAGCGCGATACGAGCGCGATACCCCTGCACCACGGTGAAGTAATACGTAATATGTAGCCTGAATAAAAACAAATACATTGTAATTCTAAATTGAGAATTACCATTTCGTGTTTGTAATCCTTATCAATTTCGAGGTATTTTGGTTTAACACTGATAAAAATAATTTAGCCAAAATCTTCTTGCCAAAACAGTCCGACATGTATATATTCCACTACTCGGCAGTCAGATTTATTTGTGTACTACGCCCTGGAGTATTCAGTAATCGACATAGCTAAAAATAGCATTTTCATTGATTAAAATGATATTCATTCGCGAAATTTGTGATTGTAACCTCATATTTCTATTGACTAATCTGAACTTTCAATGCACTGTAATTCGTTAAATGCCTACATTAAAAATTATTCTGTCTTTTAAATTGCTGGTTTTTTAAGCAGTTTTGAGTGAGAACTACTTTGCGTTGTTAGGTCTGTTAGGAAATTTTGTGTTAGACCGTGGATGTTAGCTATGTATTTACTGATCTTGCGATCAGAAAATACAAAAAATGGCCGGAGTACTTATAAGTTTCGTTAAGTGTAAATCTGACTGCCGAGTAGTGGAATATAAAAAAATTCTACATGACGGACTGTTTGGGCGAGATTTTCGCTAAATTATTTACTTAAATTTTAAACAACAGGTTTATCCTGAACAAAATACCTCGAAATTAATAAGGATTACAAACCGAAATGCAATGGAAGTTCTAAATTTAGAATGACTTGATTTTATTCAGGCATGGTGTGTATACCTTCTCCGTGGTGCAGGAGTAACGCACTCGTTTAGTGTGTGAAAGGTCTGGAGTTCATATCCCTGTCGAGGCAACTGTTTTTAAAATTCTTCTTTAAGTGTCTGTTAAGAAAGTAGCCATGATATGCAAGGATTAAGTGTGGCTGTCATAAAAAATGAACATAAATGATTTTTTGATGCAACTCTAGTTATGCAAAATTCAATATGTATAAAACTCTGGTGCCTTGCAAGATGAATTATAGTACATAAAAATAAACTTACACAGGAAAATACATACATATATACAGTACGATTTAGATTGAAAAGATCAGAAAATACCACAGAGCTTGCAGCCCTTTGATTTACTAAGGATATTGTATATTTGTTTACACAGCCAACTACAGTATAGTGTGTATGTAAAAACAGTTACATTAAAAAAGTTTCTGTTTTTTTTTATTTTATAAATTTGTAATTTTGCTATACAAAAAAAACACACACAAAAAAACCTGACATACGGTATAAAATGTACGAATTTTCGAAAAATCTCAAAACGAAAGTAGGTATATATCATACTGTTTTAAGATATCGAATATGGAATACTGCCAGCATATATCAATAGCTTTAGATCACATTTTCAGAAAATAACAAAGTCGTTGTTATCAACAAATAATAAACATAAATTTACAACTATAAAATTTGTCTACATCGACATAAAAAAGATTTATAGAATTGTAATCACAAGCATTAATACCCTCGATCAATAAAACAAAAAAAGAGATAGAGTAGACACTGAAAACTGTCCAAATCCTGACGTTTTAAGTATTTTATTGTACATTGCAAATCTAGATGACTATATTCATTTCAATATAAATCCATTTTAGTATTTTGTCTCACGTGTTCGCATTTTGTACAAGATGTTGTGGTGAATAATGTATGTATTATATCTATTTGTATGAAAAATAAAGACTAAAATCATTAAAATGGTCGATATCACCATGCCTATTTAATTGTGCACAACTTACGTAATACATGACAAAGTTAGCATTATACTGTCTACTAAACAATATAAAATCTAGATTACTACACGCAACATAAATACACAATAACATTTAATATTTTATCACATTTGAAAATAACGATTCTAAATCAGCTTACCTTTTATTCCGTTTTCTTCATTTTGACAGAAACAGAAGTGGGAATTCCCTGTGAAAATTCCTCTCACGGTATAAATGACATGTAACCTGATATTATTAGCTAGTGGTATAGATAAAAAAAAAAGTGCACTACATACAGCGCGTGCAGATTTCTGTCGTCTGTAGTTTTCTTATCTGAATCGTTACCCTCTTTTTACTATTGTCTATATTATTATTTTGAAATTTATATATGTATGAATAGTTATAGTGCACCCGACTTGCTTGTACATTTGAGAATATTTTTACTCTGTTGAACAAAAAGTAACGTGACTTTAAAAGTATTTATTTAAACAACGCCGTTACGTGTGATATTATTTAAGTTAAACGCCAAAAAAAAATACATTTCAATTATTTAAATCTACGTACATACTGGTATTTTGTTAATATTTACTTCACTTTAGCGTAACTGATTACACTGTGGTGTACTCTTATAAGTTGGTATAATTATACCTAAACGATGTTTTAAGCCATTTCCAAATAGAATATTACCTTAACATGTATTAATCTTACTTACAATAACTTTCTTAAATAATTGCAAGTAGCTGTTTGTTGGCTAAGGATATAGTGTTTTTTTTTTAATATTTATTTAACATTGTTATCATTGTTCATCATTCACGCTTAACACGATTGATTGTCTCAGTTCCTATCAACTATTGCGAAATACTTGCAATTCCGATGTTCCTCCTTGATTAAGACTGTTACACAGTTAACTGTTCGACAAATATCTAGCAAATAACTTCAAATAAGCAGTTGATTTCCCGGTTATATGACAATGAGTGGCGTTTAGACAACTAATTCACCTTTTAAGTACAGACATTGCCTATAATAATTCTGATAACCCATACATCGTTAACTTTTTCTTGAACAACATATACATTTTTTGGTCTGTTTTTTATCATAATCTTAATCCGAAATTTTTGCATCGCGCTGAAGTGTCCATGTCTAGTCACCTTCGTTTTAGGTGAATTACCTTCGTTTTTGTTAAGCCCCATTTACACAGTCCCGGTTTGGCGTCCCGGTTTGCCACGGTTTAGTCCACCGGGATCAACCTTGGTAAACCGGGGTAGGGACGTAGCGATTCCGTGAAGTACCCGGACAAACCTTGGTGAACCGGGAGATCGCCACAGATGTATTAAAATGTTAAATAAGACGATGTCGCCATGGTAAAAACAGGCACAGCTACGTATAGAGCCAGGGTACATTGCGGTTATTGGTGATAACGCTCCGGTTGGACCCGGTAATGTTACGGATATTGCCGGCAAGTCCCGGTTTTACAGCTGTGATAGACGATGGCGTCACGACCTAATGCCGATAACAGGCAATTTAAGGAACAGGTATATTTTGAAGTGCTAATTTGGATAAATTTGTAAAGTTGAAGACGAAGAAGGGCCATTCTCTGCTATTTCTTCTGAAGCGAGCTTTCCTTACTGACCTTCCCTAAGTCGTTTCCAAAGGTATCTTAACCTCTGTAGGCGTTGTAAGCAGTTTTCCCAACTTTCTTCACCTTTCCTTTAGGTGGCATCTCTGCTGTTTTTTTACGAAATGGCTGACGTGGTCAAGCAATTTTATTCTCATAAACTTGAACCGGGAAGCATCAATGTTACGAATTTTTATCGACACGATTTCTTCCTTGAGTCGTAATCCATAAACAGCCAAAAAAAGAATAATAATAATAAAAGAATAATGATTATTCAATTATTCGGATAACTTAGGGATATTTTCTTCTGCACTTAAGTTGTTCGTATTTTCGTTTATTCTGGTATCATGTAACAAACGCATTTTTCCCTATGTGCTTATTGTAACAAATTAAGTCTTGGCATTTTAATCATAAACTATCTAGATGTATAAACATGTTACACGGAGGCAGAATTGATAAATATAAATCACATTTTTTTTCTAAAGCACACTACATGTATCTCGGTTTAACAGCCTGAAATACTGATCGAATCGTTATCAATGATGTTTAGAGATTTATATAGAAACTTTTAGGATTTGATCACATAAAAAAACTTCAACAAATATAAATTCATTATCTAAACGAATAGAAGAACGTCGAAACTGGATATTTTTATCTGATGTGTAGAGGGCTGGGGTGTACCTGCATGAGCAGATCAAATACCCATTTTGAGTTGTTTGTTCAATACAATCACGAATGTTTGCGGTCGTCAAAATATGCTTACATTACACCGGAACAAAATGTAGTCAGTCGGCACGTATATAAACATCGATAAACTCAACTGCAATTTTCATGTAATATTTCATATCTACTTTTAATATATGATATCAAACCACTTTCACGATCGCACCTCAATGTAAACAAATATTCTTATTACCCACCCACTTGTTTTTTCCATATATAAGTAGTGATATGTATTTTAAGTATAGAATGATATTGTAGTATTATATAATTATTCATAATTTCATGATATATATTTGCAAAACGTGATGATTATTTTATGTTGTTTTATCAAATATTTACTGTGCACCCTATTTTACGCTTTAAAAGTGACGTATTTTGGCTATATCCTGGATTAGACCCCGGGGTCTAATCCAGGAGTATATATAAGGTTCATTCCGTTTTCTTTAGTGTATTATATGCAAGTTTTACTCCTGAAAAATACTAGGAGATTGCCCGTATTTTTACGCTTGAATTCGCCGCTGTTAATCGAGTGTTACTCTTATATACTTAAATAGTATTAAAAAATCATTGATAATTATCAATAAAATAACAGTTACTTTTACAAAGCGTACCTCTAAACTAATTCAAAGTGCCTTTATTAGTTCACATTCAGAAAAGAATTGTGATTTTAATTACTTCCTGGTTTATGTCCACCATTACATTCCTACTCATCACTGATGACGTCACATCTGACGAGTTGAAAAAACCTTTAATGAAGATCGTACAAGTTGTAACTTATTATTGCTAACTAATACTTAACCTCAAATATATACGGGAAACAACTTATTTTAGGCCCTCTTTTTTCACTTCCTTAATGTTATTAAGATGTATATTGAATACGGACACAGAAAGTCATTTTCGAGAATTATATAAACATTGTGATGTTGAGAACTGAAATAGATCAGCTGTTCTTGAATCATGCTAAAATATGATGTGTTAAATTTACATATTTCATTTGAACTCCGCATATGGAACAATATTTTTATAATGAGACAGATTAAAAGATTTTCAAAAAATATCTGGATCACAGTTCATAGGTTTTTTTTAAGTCAGAAATTTACGGAACTGAATAGAAACTGGCAATGAAGGAATCTTCCGAATGCTAATTTGTCGTAACGTTTAGAAAGATTTATTTCGAAATGCATCCAAAAGTAAGTGCAATTTCTACTCCATGTGTCTCAATGTTCTTGTTGCTTATTATTCATTTTTTTTAAGTTTTGCATCATGCATCGCAACTTAAGTTCTGTTACAGCTTGCAGATCAAGCTTTGTAAAATAATCATGAAACGACCTCGAGATCCTCTTGTACATTTTAGAAACATGACACGTGCTTTCTCTCGTTCATCTTCAAATGAAGATTAATTCAGCAATTGCTACGAAAAATATAGGAACAGAAATGATAACAAAGAAACTACACTGAGATTTATTCTAAACGAATAATATTAACAAATGTCGAATGTAACGCTGTAACACATTCAATTCATACATTAACAAAAATTGGTCAACAATGCAATGGGTCAGTGGTTAGTGTATAGTTAAATAAAGCTTATATGGGCATTGACTGATACGGATATTTATACGTTGAGGATACATAAACAGTTCCCATAAATCAACATCGTTTAATTTATTGATATAAGCATAAACATGACGTTGAAACAACCCTATGACACAGGTATCCCACAAACGATATGGAATGACGGAATTAAAATATAATTGAGCTGCGTCACGACAAAACCAACGTAATGCGTTTGCGACCAGCATGCATCCAGAACAGCAGTCTGATCAGGACAAACCCTATAACAAGTAGAGAAACTGATAGCGAACAGCATGGATCCTAATCATACTGCGCGGATGCGCAGGCTGGTCTGGATTCATGCTGGTCGCAAACCCATTATGTTGGTTTTGTCGTGACACGGCTCATATATTTTTTCATGTCAAGCAATGATTTATATCATACGTTGTATAGTTTTAATAGCATATACATGTATGAAAATGATAATAAAGATGCACATTGAAAGTAACAAATATTAAATACTGACTGGTGTCATTTAAAGATGATTGTATAAAATGTATGGGAAGGAGAATAAAATACACATTATTTTGAAAAAAATATTGATCAAAACAAGTAAACAATTTTAAATAGTGCAATACGAGTACTGTACAATCTGTCAAGTTTGTTTAAATCATTCAACAAAATAAATGGTCACACAGTTTTAATGTACCATATATCCTGTTGTGAATAGACAGTGACACTTCAGAATATAAGTTTACAAGTTCGTCAACGCTTGTGAAAATGCACGTGCTCTCTTCTAGTCCAAAACGATCCCCGCGCTTTAGTACAGGAAAATGGTATGTTGACCCTTGGTAGCTAAAAAAAGATGACGATAATCATAGTAACTCGTTGAATTGGAAAGTAATTGCAAATCCATTTCAACTAATTAGTGTTATGTCATATAGACTGATACAAGTAACAAATATTTAAAAACAAACATGTTCATTCAGAAAGCCGGTAAATAATTAGTTTACATATTGTTGAGTGAACAATCATAAAAAGATACGTGCAGGAATCAGTATATATAAATACATAAAATACTTGCCGAACGCTAATGATAAAGGGCTTATCAGCATCTGTGTTACAATAACGGACAACAAATGTTCCATCATTACTCGATTTTAACATGTTTTCAGCAGTTGATTTATCAATACTTGAAACTGTTATGTTTCTGATACACTGGTTGTCCTCATTCAGCAAACAGTCCAAAAATGTCTCCAAATGTGGATATCTTTTGAGAAGTGTGCTTCAACGGAGAGACATACCATTTTAAGATTTTAAACTATGGATGATATTATAAACATTTAACGGCGTTATTTACACTTAATTGAATTTGTATCGAAAATTGTACTTGTGCTATGGAACATGTTGTTTTAATGCAATAAAATATTTATAATTGTAATAATAAATTTGTATTGAATTAAGTGAAAATTGTCAGTGATGATGATCCATTCATAAATAGACTATAATTTTCATAATAACTTTGTATCATCACTGTAACTCCTAAGAATGTAGAATGATACCAAACAACACACGTGCTTTGGGTACTTGCACGCGTTTATAACGGTGTAATTAAAACAGCTTAACATGTTATTAAATCTTTAAAGGAATCCATACTTACTGTAGTATTTATCTATAAAAGTCCATGGTGCGGTACTTGTTTAAAAGAGTACCTTAAAATGCACTGTGCATCCTTAAAAATCTAAAGTTTTTGTGCATCTTTATATATCTATGTAGTATTAATATAATCTATGATGCGGCAATTTTGCCTCTTATTGAACAAAATTTTAAGAAATTAAAAGATTAGATACCTCCTGATCGCACCGATTTCTTGTGTCGTCTGCTGCATGTCTTTGTAAATAAACATCCGCTCTTTTTCGACTGTGTTTGTCTCTTGCTGTATGTCAGTTACGGTCTCAGTTAATTGTCGTTTCTCACTATTTAAATCTGAAAGCCTCAATGTGAGCTCCCGAAAATTACTTTCAAATCTGAAAATTTCGATAAAAAGTCTAAACATTGCTGTCATCATATATATTATGAGGATATTATACAGTGTTGTGTACAAAACTGTATTCTATTGGACGACCATACAGCTGTCAAAACTATATTGGACGAAGCACCTAAGATCTTATAAAAATCATCTCCTCTGAAACTATAAAGGCCAAAAAATTTGGTTAAATTTAATTTTTTCCCCATAAACCCATGTACTGGACCTCTTTCCAAATTGGGTTTAAAAATAGCCCCAAAGGGTCAAATTTTGGAAATCGGCCCCCGGGGTTATTTTTTTTCCTTTTTTGTATATTAAAATCAAACCCCCTTTAAACATCATTATTTGAACATAAAGCATTGTCTAGTGGGCCACTTTTTTCAGAAGGGAAATTTTTATTATAATTTTTTTAAAAATATTCCTTTTACCAGTTATATTACCTGGAGATCGGGGTATAAATTTTCCAAAAAACGGTTTATTTTAGGGCCAAAATAAACCCGTCGAAAAATTTTTTTAAAACTATTTTTATAATTTCTTTGGAAAGTTTGTAAAAGTCGCTTTCCATTTTGGGTTTAAAAGTTTTACGTTTCATCATTTATATACAGGCTTTTGTCAATTTTTAAAGTTTTCATTGTTTCTCAAATATAGGAAGTATTATTGGTGGCTCGTGTTATATATGCAAACAGTCGTTTATATAAGGCCATACAACCTGTCAAATATCTTTATAACTAATAACATAGCGGCATAAAGTAAAATTTCAATGCTTTAAAAACAGTTAGTCCGTGCTGTTTAATGGCGGTTATTAAGTAATTTTAAGTAAAACAAAGTCGTTCGATTGAGAAAAGTATGTGTGATTCTCATTTTTCTATTTCACATAATAAGATTGCAGTACCTAGACATCATGATTCGGTATTTGTAAGTTGAATACAAATAAATTAAGGGCTGACCGGAAGTAAGAATATTACACGTACGCTTCAGACGCCTGTGAACGAATAGATGATCGGAATTTCACATTTTTACTCTTTTCAATTTGTGTTTCAATCATTTTGATGAGGATGTTGATGGCATCTAACGAATTGGTGACTTCCTGTAATTTCTGAAATGTATACATTATCTTGTAATGTATGTATTTGATATTGTTACAAAAATTTCTCAGAACGTCCGTGCTGAAATTGTCTACCATTTATAGTAAGAAAATATGATTATATTTATTGCATTTAAAATGTGATATATCATATATTTTTCATTCAAACAACTTGTATGGTATAAGATACTTGAAGACTAAGATAGACAAGTGGCATTTATAAAGTTATACCGTTTCCAGAGATTCATGTTCGTCTTGTATAACGGCATATCGTTCATCTTTTTTCATCTTCAAACTTGCTGCACAACGTAAGTCCATGAGGAGAGTTAATGGGTCCAAGTCTTGCATTGATAACCGGGAACTCCGTGAATTTGTACGATGTAGGGGGGACTATTCAAAAGTAAAAAGGACTTATGAACAATTCGTGAAAAAGGGAAGTGACATAATAAAAACAACAACATCAAGGAAATTGAAGAAGAACGAGAAGAAGATTGAGATTATATGAGGACGCGGAAGAACGAGAAAAATTCGAAAATGAATATTCCTATAAAAACATTTAATATGAAATGTGGCGTTTCGCAACAAAGTCAAGATGTAACTATTCGAGAAAGTAAAAAAAAAAAAACAGAAAAAAACAGTAATAAATAATATCTCATTATCAATAATATTAATATTTTGGGCTAATAAGAATTCCTTGGGCCATTGACTACAATATTACTTATACTATAAAGTAAGTTAACCAAATATGTAAAAATTTAATGAATTTATAATGGACAGATAATAGCTGGTTTTGTTAAAAGCGGAACAAAACTGGAAAATAAATATATTAACTTAAGTAAAAAAAATATATAAACTTACATCAGATCTAATTGCAGGATAGATGAGTGTATTTCCTGTTTGTGGGGACCAGTTGTACGCATCCAGGACGTCGTTTAAACTCTCGAAACCCAAAGGTTCACTAAAACCAAACAGGTCGTCTTCATGCAATATCTCTACAAATTTGTTCTTTCCATTAATTCTAGAATATGCCAGAAAACAACAAGTTCATTCAGTATCTCAAATCTGATGTTTGAATATCACTTTTGTTTGATTAACAAATACAAAGATGTACCGTAATTCAGATGTTTTTAACGTTTTTCGTTATGTGACAAGCATAAACCATTTTCAAACAGAGTCAAAATTTACTTATTATTAATGAAAGTTTACATATTAATTTAATTAGTACAAGCTAAAATACACATTATAGAAAATTGACGAATACCTCCGTAAAATAAGTAATTCAAGAAACAACTATACATTTCTGAATGGAGTGTGAGAGAGAGTGCGACATTGAATGTCGAAGATAATGCACTTTTACTTCAGCGTCGTAAATATTTATTTGTGCAACAAAAAGAAGTCTCAATGAACGTAAATTAAATCCATTAATTTTTGTCGTCGCAATGTACGATCGTTTCAAAATGCAACCGCACTTTATCCTAACATATGTTGTAAACAAATGCCCAATGGGATTGTGGTTATTTGTTCTTATAGGTATTGTGTTTTCCAAGAAAAGCTTTGGTAAATATTGCTGTAGACCTAAGATAGACTTAAGTCATAGCATCGCTATATAAACTTGATATGGAAGATTCGTTTTAATAGGGACACTGTTGTGACATGGTCGTATATAAACTGTTACTTAAATTTACCTCATTACCTTTCTTGAAGACCTTTTTTTTCTTGTCGTTGTTTTAAGCTACAGTCTCACTGACATCCCGGCAGAGCCCCGGTAGACATCCGGGATGATCCGGGAACGACCGGGGTACGACCGGGAACAACCGGGGTACATCCGTAACTCTGCCGGCAACGTCCGGGATGATCCGGAAACATCCGCATTCGACCCTGGATGGATATCACCGGGGTGGTCCGGGATGATCCGAGAAGTATAGCTTTGCCGGCTTCATCCTTAGCTCTACCGGAACCGACCGGGGAAGCACCGTAGCTCTGCCGGCACAAACCGGGGATGATCCGGGGTATGATATAGCCGGTAGATCTACGGTAGAGCCCCGGTGAATGCTGGCAGAGCCCCGGAGGATGACGATGGAGCTACGGTTGATCCCGGTAGAGCCCCGGCAAAGCCCGGTTCATTTCAAAAGAATCACGACAATTTGCGATGATTGCACTTGTTTGTATTAAAACCCTTCCCATTTCCCTTCTATCCAGTCTTGCATAAGGATTTTTCAGAAAATCATCATGAATTACTATTCTGGAACAATAGATATTATATTAAATAAAAATTATGTATCAATGTAATCATTTTCGCGCGTTTTCAATCCACCGGGGTTCTACCGGGGCTCTGTCTGGATAGTCCTGGGCTCTGCCGGGGCTCTGCCTGGGTCAAGCGGGGCTCTTCCGGCGTTATCCGGGAACGACCGGGGAAGCACCGGCATGAACCGTAGCTTCACCTAGGCTCTGCCTTGATGACCCGGGGCGCATCCTGGTAGGTAAGTTGGGAATTACCGTAGTGCTGCCGGGATTAGAGTGACCGCAACAATAATTTCACCCCGGATCGTCCAGGATCATCCCGGTAACTTACCGGGATGATCCTGGGCTCTGTCGGGAGTAAGTGAGACCGCAGCTTTACAAAATATATAAATCAATTACCTGATAGCCAGAGTAAAGCCCGTCGAACCTTTTGTTTTAAACACTAGAAACGTCCCATCTGGTTCAGAGTTCAGGAACGTGTCCACGTAATCTTTAGTGCACTCTCCCCAGTCCCATGCTGTAGCGTAGCTGTTACGATCCTGCATGAGAATGAACATATTATCTCAAGAAAAGTTCCGTGAAGAAATGAATATAACCGAGACATTATTTCATGTATGTGTCTTTTATTCTTTACAAGTGAAGATTGTATGTTGCAGGATATAACAATAATGTTTTGTTCATACTAGGAAAATAATGAAATAAAAGGCAAAATCCTTATTGGCTTTGAAAAATCCGATGTTTACAAAAAATGGTAAACAAAACATGAAGGTAACATTCAATTAACAAATAACTACTAACTTTTACGATAAAAAGGTTTTATTGAATAATGTTAATGGTTCCTGACTAACATATTGATATCAAATAAGATGGATTTTAAGTAACACAAACAAAGTCAACTTTAAAGCTTTAGTTGCGGGATAAGACCTCAAGATGTCCCCATCGTACACTATTTCAGGCAGGAGGAGACTCATAGGTACAACCACCGACCTTCCGTAAGCTAGCGCTAGACAGACTTTAAAATAAAATAAATTAATAAACAATAGTCTCATAAGAACGAATTGAAAATGTTGCAGAAGACTCTTTCATCCCCTCGGTACACGTACGTCGTTGAAAGGCACAGGGCATTAGCAGATTGTTGTTAAACTCAATGGAATAATCGCTTTAATTAGGTACAAATGTTTTCTTTCTTGAAAGTAGATATTTCAAATACAGTGCATTTGCCCAATAGGTCAACATCAAACCGGAACAAAAAAGAATAGTAAAGGAATGTATATGTTACCATACATGTATATATGTAATCTGTTATCTAAATTGGAAACTACTTTAATATCTTATTATTTATAATACTTTAGTTTAAAGCTGGAGAAAAACAATATTGTGATGGTACTTACGGACATTTCTGTTAATCCCAATAGCTCACACATCCAGTTTGTTGTAAATTAAACTTCCTATTTAGGCGGATGAATGTGAACCTGTAGTTAATATATGATAACATGTATGGATAATCATATATCTCTACCTGATATCAAATAACATGTACACATATGATATACTTACATCATCTATTCTTCCTGGTTAACAACAATAGATACCACCGTAGTTTTAAAGATGCACGTACGGTGGCACAAAGGTGACATGTGTGTGTTTTTATTTATCTCGTGGCCACGAGATACTATGTCGTGGCCACGAGTTATTAAGTCGTGGCCACGAGATACTATGTCGTGGCCACGAGATACTATGTCGTGGCCACGAGTTACTAAGTCATGGCCACGAGATACTATGTCGTGGCCACGAGTTACTATGTCGTGGCCACGAGTTACTAACTCGTTGCCACAAGATAGCTAAGTCGTGGCCACGAGTTACTATGTCGGGCCCACGAGTTAAGTACTAAGTCGTGGCCACAAGTTACTAAGTCGTGGCCACGAGATAGCTAATTCTCGGCCACGAGATACTATGTCGTGGCCACGAGTTACTAAGTCGTGGCCAATAAATAGCTAAGTCGTGGCCACGAGATACTATGTCGTGGCCACGAGATACTATGTCGTGGCCACGAGTTACTAAGTCGTGGCCACGAGATAGCTAAGTCATGGCCACGAGATAGCTAAGTCGTGGCCACGAGATAAATAACCAATCAGATTACACCATTTATACGACTTAGTAACTCGTGGCCATTACATAGTAACTTGTGGCCACGACAAAGTATCTCGTGGCCACGACTTAGCTATCTCGTGGCCACGACTTAGTAACTCGTGGCCACGACTTAGTAACTCGTGGCCACGACATAGTATCTCGTGGCCACGAGTTAGCTATCTCGTGGCCACGACTTAGTAACTCGTGGCCACGACATAGTATCTCGTGGCCACGACTTAGCTATTTATTGGCCACGACTTAGTAACTCGTGGCCACGACATAGTATCTCGTGGCCGAGAATTAGCTATCTCGTGGCCACGACTTAGTAACTCGTGGCCACGACTTAGTAACTCGTGGCCACGACATAGTAACTCGTGGCCACGACTTAGCTATCTTGTGGCAACGAGTTAGTAACTCGTGGCCACGACATAGTAACTCGTGGCCACGACATAGTTTCTCGTTGCCATGACTTAGTAACTCGATCGTGGCCACGACATAGTATCTCGTGGCCACGACTTAGCTATCTCGTGGCCACGACTTAATAACTCGTGGCCACGACATAGTATCTCAGTTAATCAAATCATTAATATTCATAAAAAATCATCAGCAAATATGCGTGTTAGATATTTAGCGCGAAAAAGTGTAAATAATAATCAACCTTAGTGGGATTGAGAATGTGAAAACAACTAAGCAGCTTAAATACGCAGCTTTACGACGATTTCGCTGGACTAATAACATATTAGACAAGTTTCAAAAATTTGTAGCGGTCCGAAAACGTTTAAAGAATGTGCTTTATAAGAAAAGTATCTTTGCCAAAAGTCTAAGAGCGATCAACTAATAACGTTACCATCAAATCCCAAAGCCTTTTGGAAACTGTTAAAATCTAGAAATAGTAACGTAAATGAACAATCTTCATTAATAGATACGGGAGCTTGGTTTGGTTATTTTCATGAGTTATTATTTAAAAGTAACCAGCCTAATATATATGAAAGTAATTAGGGCTTTAGAGTTAATACTGATGAGGAAAATCTGTATTTAATTCTGAAATTTCCTCTGATGAAGTCATTAAAATTATAAACAAATTGAAATGTGGAAAACCACAGGGAAGTGACGGCATCGGAGCAAAAAAATACTTCGTCATTAATCACATCTTTGTAAATTGTTTAATAAGATATTTTAGTACTGGGCTTTCCCCAGACATTTGGAGGGATAGTATAATAGTATCCGTGTACAAGTCATAACCCTTCTAATTATAGAGGAATTTCCTCAATCAATGTTATGTAATAAACTATTTTCTAATATTATATATGATAGATAGGTTATATAATTGGGCTGAGAAATTTGATAAAATAGATGAATCCCAAGCCGAATTTCGAGCCGGTTACTCTGCAATTGATATTATTTTTATATTACAAAGTATGGTACAGAAATAATATTAATAAACCGGGCGGACGATTTTATGTTCTTAAAGGGACTCCACATTAGAATTTCTTACATAAATGAACTGGGGCGCTTTAAACAGAAATATATGCAAAGATAGTTAAGAAATATACTTTAAAAAAAAATCGAAAATCGCAGTTTTATGCTTGTCTTAGCCTAATTTGAGTGAAAAGCGTTTAAACGCTTTTCATTTTGGGTCATTTTTTTACAATTTGAATAATTATTCTGGGAAAACGAAGTGCGCGAATGATCTGAAAGTTTGCACAAAGACTCGTGGTCTACATGTAAACCTACATCAAATGGTACATTTATCTGGAAAAAAATATTTTCACTCCCATTATGTCAAAAAACCTCAGTGGAGTCCCTTTTATGTAGATTTTAAAAAAGCATCTGATGGACGTTTTACAGTGTAATATATTCAATACTATAAACAGATGTGGCGTTAGGGGGGATTTGTTTCGTGTCTTTATCAATGTACTCAAAAGTGCTTGGATGTGTACAACTACAGAATATTTTATTACAAGACAAGGGGACGTAACAAATACGATTATGTTTAACCTGCATATAAATGAGTTATCACTGATGTTGCAAATTGCGCCGATACTGCGATCGAACTTCAGTCTCAGTTAAATTCAATTTCAGAATTTTGTAATAATGCCGGTATGTATATAAATGAGAATAAAACTGAAATTATTGTATTTAGAAATGGGAGACCGCTCAGATCATATGAACAAGAGGGCCATAACAAAATTCTTTCTGGTGTATAAAAAGTCAAATCAATTGAAACAATTACCCCATTTAATATTTTATTTCTGATTACAAAATCAATTATACATACAAATGAATGATTTTAATACAACCTTAGCAAGTAAGACCATAATTAATCAAGAAGCAAGCAAGCTAAATACATAATAATAAAGCATGATTAAAACACATAATAAAGAAACATAATAAACATAGAACACTTATACCCCCGCTTTATGCAGTCAAAGTGGAATATGTACAAACTTATGCATATTTCAAAGTCAAGTGTTATATTAACACATAGAATATATAATAATATAACAGCAGTATTATTGAATAGCTTTTACAAACCTGTAACTGATGAAACTCTAGATCTTGGTTGGACAAGCTTTTAGATGTATTTAAGGCCACTGTGACTTTAACCTTTGACCTAATGACCTCAAAAACAATAGGGTCATCTAATCCTAATGAACAACCTTGTCAACAAATTTTAGAACTTAAGCCCAAAGGGTTTATCCATATTTTGTAATAAAAGCTTCTCTGGTAATTTTTGTCAGACATTTTAGCTTTTAAAGACCAAGGCCTAAAATCAATTGACGTCATCTTCAAGTCATGTCCAACCTTAATTTGACTTATGTTCAGGTCTACTACAATGGTTTTTTACATGTAAATATGTAGATCTGATTGCCATCGTCCAGGTTTGTTTCGTCTTCACTGTGATTCTGATTTCCAAAGAAAGCTATTTTGGCCATGCAATCAAACCGTTTTTTTAAAGATAAGCAAAAATACAGGTATGTCAAAAGCCCCCCCCCCCATAAAATAATTGTTAAATAATTTAAATCCGGAACTTGGTGTATTGAGACAAGTCAAAAGTGGAGCGGTGGCCTAGTGGTTAAAGAGTCTGCCTCTCAAGCCAGAGATCATGGGTTCGAGCCCTACTCGGGTCACAACCATTTCTTCATATGACACCAGTACTGGTTGGTTCCAGGAAGCAGACTCAAAAGTGATTAATATAAGTTGCAAGAACTTGTTTCGCAATCGAGCTTAAATAAATATATTTAAACCAAGTCAAAATCGGTATGTTTAATTTAACAAATAAATGCAATTGTTTTAAAAGATAATTTACATCAATATTTTAATTTAAAGGTACAAAAGTTCTAATTTGATTTATTGTGTAATTCGTATATAATTTATTGACAATATGACCGTTTATATGTTTCTTATATATTGTACAGTACAAATGTGAATGAATATTTTCAGAGAATCGCTTATAAACGCTTATCAAGGAAATAAAAGTGAAAGGCACATACTTGTTTAGATTTATTTGAAGTATAACCCAAGTTCCGTGTGAAAAAAGATAGTAATCCTCTGGTCTATAAACCTCAGGGGAGCTTTTGTTTGATGGACTGGTGGGGGGGGGAGCTTTTGTCCTACCTGTATTTTTGATGGGGGGAGGGGGGGGGATTTTAACTATGTGTAAATTCAATGGGAGGGGCTTTTGTCCATCTTGTCATTTTTAAATGGGGGGGGGGCTTTTGTCCTACACTCGAGCCAAAGTTACTTTAAAATCCATGAAGGTCTTATCCTTAAGAATGTTGTGTTTAATATGAAGTCAACCCATTCATTTATAACAAAGTTATTGCCAGTTGCGAACAGAAGAAAAGAAAATTTCAATAATTTGACTTTAAGGTAAAGGTCATTTATGAGTAAATGTCAAGGTCTGTCTAATTATTTTGAACTCTATCCTGAAAGATTGTTTGTTTAAGTTTAAAGACAATCCGTTCAAAAATAACAAAGTTATAGTCACTCATAGCAAAAATCAAGCAAAATTTAGACACTGTCCTTGAAACTCAAGGTCATTTATAAATGAAAGTCAAATTTTGTCCGGTCTAACCTTTACAGTCAATGTCATTAAAAGGTGACTGTCACATCTATAAATTCAACATGTCTGTTTTGTCACAAATGTTGTTTTGTCCATGGATGAATCAAATCTGTACATAAATAATAAAATCATGATATTTAAACCAAAATTCATTAATTTGACCTTGACAGTGAATGTCTGTTAAAGCTCAAACAAGGACCATTGATTCAAAAGGCACAAATTAGCTAAGAAAAGGACGGGGTAACATTGAACTCACAAATATTTTCAGGGTGGGGCACATATAAGTGTTCTTCTTACTTCCCTTTATTTATACAGATATGAAATGACACACAAAGAGTAATTGTATAATA